TGCCTGGAGGCTGGAACGCCCAAAGTATGCATAAAGAAGAAAAAGCATCTCTGCCAAAGAGAGGCTCTTGTTGGTTGTTGGTCTAGAACGGCTGTGCCATGCGATTCTTCCCCGCAGGCATTACGACTTCTACCACCTCGTCCGTCATTCGACCTCTCCTTCCCATGTCCTCTGGGGACAAGCCCAGGCAGCCAATTCCCACAGCAATGCCAAATTCCATCTCCATAACACCGTCTTTTCCTGTATATTCGATTACAGTTACAGCAAGCTATGGCGGTCACATGACACCTTTTTCGCTTCGACAAGTAAGCCCGATGTCAATGTCATTCCATGGGCTGGTTGGTTATCGAGTTATGATCGCTCAGCTTTTGGATCGGGCGAACCATTCCGTGGACTTTTTCACGCTCGGGCATCGGTCGCACACTCACTACTGCCAGAAAGAAACCGCCATGTCTATCGCATTCTGACACCTCGGGCTTTTGATCACAAGCTCACCGAGTCAAGCATGACATTTGTGATTCATCATATCTAGGCTCATGATTTTTCCTCATCCTGGACTTTTACAGTTCATCGTCGCCCGGGACTCCACGAAGCATGCCGATCTCATGCCAGATCTCTTTTCCAGCGCCTCGAAAACATGAGCTCTGGTCGCCCAATGAGCTCTGCCGATGTTGTCCGCTCTGTTCACGACTCCATCATCACATCTACTCCTACTACTACTACTACTGCTGCTCGTTGCCATGCACTCGCCTGGCTTTGCACCATTTTCTACCAAAAGGCAATTCTGTTCATCGAAATCAAAAGTTCTTGCTCTCGCCTTTCCATAACATTGTTCTTGAGCTCGTCTACATCGAGCTCGGAGAAGGATCCAGTGATTTAAAGCACAAGGTTAGGAAGCCCCGTCAGGCCCTACATGAAACATGGGACAAATTCCCCATAGCAAAATGTTTCATGCTATACCCTGACGTCCGAACTGTTTCCGTCAGAATGAATTACAAGACTTTATATATGAGACTCATCCAAAGTGATTCGAGTAAAATAAATAAGTCCATCTCAATGATTTAAAGCGATTTGTTTCCATGCTCTCTCTAGCGGAGGTTCTCACCAATGTGTCAGATTTTATGCTATGATTATATGTAATACGCGATTGGACTAAGAAAGGCAGAAAAGCTTGATCCCTTTGAACCTACATTCAAATTCCATCTTATGTTATCTCTGTATATAACATCATATTTTCCGGCAAAATATAAAATCAATCTGATTCCAATCAACTGCAAGACACAGCGGCGCTTTTTCATATGACTTATTTATCTTCATGACATACAAAACATCACATTACTGACTAAAGCTTCGTAGCTAATCATTGAATGAAGAACAGTGTAGTGTTTTCACACGATTATAAGGAAAGATAAAATGAAGGATCAGACTTAAGGTCAAAAATGAATCCAGCAACCCAAAAAAAAAAAAAGGGTCTTACTACTATTAAGAATGACTCTTACTACACACGAAGTGCGTTTTAAGTTTACAAGCTAATATGATTGGAATGAAGGTGACAAAAAATATCTTAAGACTCCTTAGATGCTCATTCTCTTGTCATCTATGTTTCATGACTCTCTTCGATATATCATACTGTTCTTACTTTTAAATGATAAATGATATTTTCTAAACCATTATTATATTATTCATTATCTTTTAAGACGATATTTGAACTTGAAAAGGTAAATAATATTGAAGGGTTAACAATATGAATCTAAATTTGCAAATTTTGTCACGTTCCTTGATATGTTTATTAACCTAACATTATTATTATCTTAATGTAAATCATAAAATCTTGATCGGTAGAAATTTTGTAAAAATATATACTTTCAAGCAAAATACTCAACAATGTCAACTCAAAATATCATTGATTGATTTGGAATTGTAGTTTTTACCTTGTTTTTTTATCCAAATTATTTTTTAATCATGTCAAAATAGTCAATTTGGCTAAAATATAAGTGTAGTCACAATTCGATTAACTTCATAAACTTTTTAAATTTAAAAACTTAACATTCGTTATATTTTTCAAATGAGAAAAGATTGACCCATGAAAGCTTTCTGTTAAGATTTTTTAAGAATTGGAGTCATATTCAGCAATAAAATTGAAATCATTTTAAAAAAATTTAAAAACTTTAAAATTTTCACAGAGAAAATATTTTAAACTTCTAAAAACCCTTTAAATACTTTGAGATTTATTTTGAAAATTTCAAATTTAAAAGTAAAATTGTATCTATACTCAATATTTTGAAATACTGAGCAAAGATACATTAAGAAATTATCTAAAAGATTTAGAGAAATTTCAATAACCAATCTTTAAAAATATAAGTTTTATGAAAAAATAATGTGTTAGATAAAAAATAAAATCCGATTTTCAAATGCAACAAGATGATTCAATTTGATACACACAGTACAAATTTACCAAATTTCATTGATTTAGATATTTAAGTAAATTTTTTAAAAATTAATTTGAATAAGCCTTAAATTTCAAAAAATTTAAAAAATTTAATTTTCCTTGAGATTTTCATTACTTCTTTTTAAGCTACAATTGAAAAAATTACAATAGACTCTGGACTTGAAATTGATTTATTATCCTATGATGTTATCAATTATATTTGTATGTGATTCACACATTGTAATATAAATAAAAATGTCAATTTTTGGGATAAGTTATAATTTTCATCTCTTTTTCATCTCTTTTTTTCATTTTACTTGAAGTAAATTATAAGACATTCACTTTTTAATAACTTTTTAAATAAATTAAATATTAAAAGAGAAGTGAATTAACAATAAATATGAAATCAATTCAATTCTTTTAAATTCAAGTTGTAAGCGTTATTTAATTTCAACATCTTTATTTGTAAAATAACTGTTGGAATGTATACATTAATGGAATAGTACATTTTATGAAGATTTTTTAAAATTTCAATATTTAATCATTGATTTTTTAAGATAAATTTTTAAAATTTTCAATATTTATAAATTTACATCTCAAAAACTTAGAACTTGTTTTTTTACTGAATAATCTAATCATCATGAATGAGGACATCAAGAATGCTGTCAAAATTATATGATGCATTGAGGGATGTAAAACTTACTGAAAATAACCCAATTGGATTAACGGAATTTGATCTTACTTCTTTTCTATTGAGATTTTTTATATTTTTTATTTATATTTTTTATTTGAAAAAAAAATTATGCATTTAATCATGATATGCATATCTTATGCATATCATATCAAGATTATTTGTGCTAAATAAGTAAAATTCACTTACTTTATATATCCATTTAAATAAATTAATGTGTTAACATATAAATATGATTTTTTGTATAAAATGATTTTCTTTATTTTATATACCATTTGAATTTTCTAAAATTACTTCTCATGAATAATTCTTTTTTTTCAAAATCGACAGATATTGCTAGAGTATACCTAAACTTTTAACATAGAAGTACACCTGATTCTTCAAAACCCAATACGTACAAGACTAGTTGAAAATTTATATTCACAAAACGGTGGTTGCTTTGAGATACTTTACTTTTTGTCATATGTGAATTTCATTAGAAACAGACATCACACATATTTTCATTTAGAAAAATATAGATATGAAAAATGATAAATTTTTCATATATCATTTTTATATATATAATTTTGTAAAATTTATCAATTTGAAATGTACTCAGCTTGTAAAATTTCTTGAAAATAGAAATGATAATTTGGCCTGAAAGTGAATCTTAATATCAATGACTTACTTCATGCAACATATCTCACGTTTGATAATATTTGATTCCAAACTTACCATGAAGAAGCATTTACTATAAATGAATAACATGTTTACAGTTTCTTGAGTTTGAATTTAATTTTTTCAAGTGATATTTGATATAAATTTCATTAAGCATATTGCAGTTTTATGTGATGATGTTAAAACCTGTAACCATGTGAGACATTAAAATAAAATAAAATAATCTCATAACTATATATCTAAGAAGAAGTGAATTTCCAATTATTTCTATGAATATCTACTTCCTCTTGATATCACGATTGTAATCTATACAGTTTTTGTGTTTCAAAAAAAAGGCATTATTTTTAAATTTATTTATCACTTAAGGTTATATTTTTAAATCTAAACAAGAGTATTTTGCAGATTTTTTTAAAGAAACATGTGTCGTGCGAATACATATCGCCATACACTCTACATCGCTGACATGCTACTCACATACACATACGCACACACATACACACATATAAGGCGCGAGAGAGTACACACTCAAATGTCACAACTTCCAGTTCTTCGAGTGAAAAGAACGGGAAAGTCCCCACTGGAATTCCCGTCGGTCAATTACCCTACTGGCAACAAACCGTCACCGTCACAAACATGAGTCAAGCCCAACCCACTCCACACTCGGAGAATCCAGGTCGACGCAAAAGGGAAAGTCACTCTACGCTCCCAACGCTTCCAGGCTCGACTCGAAGAACTGACGTTCTTCGAGCCGTCCCCGACTCTATACCCCTCGTGACCGGAACCCTAACTTTACGGCTAAATATAGTAAGTGTCTGAACTTCGTGAGCCGACTCGTAACTACATGACACATGGGAACAAATTCGAACTTCTCAAAAGCATTTGTTATGGATGTCTTCAAGTGCATAAGTAACACATGAAGTATTTATGTTTTAAACCCATGGATTTTTTTTTAAATTGAAAGTTTGTCAATCACTTTCTACTGTGCTTTATAAATTGAATAAAAACTTATATACAATATGGTATATTTTTTATTGAATATGATTGATTAAGAATTTTTGTAGTATATGATGCCTGAATGACAGATGGATATTGCTGTCTTTTCAAAGCTATGATGCTATCGTTATTTTTCCACATTTCTTACGTTTCGTATATATTATAAAAAAAATATGATAAGTTTTATAACCATGTATAAAACTATATCTCATTATACACTTTTCATCCACGTTCAGTACTTGACTTGACTTCTACGTTTTAATTCGAACAAGCTTTTCGAAAGATTGATCACCGCCGGTACAAAATAACTTCGAGTCTAGAGCTAGCGAGGGATCTAGATTTAATCCACTTCTAATCATAGCCTCCGGCGTTTCCTTGCAGAACATCCCAAAGAATAAATCTGTTAGAGCGACGTACAAAATGACGTGACGTAGGAAGCTCAGTACCAACAAAAGGAGTTTCCAGATATATTGAGAATGAACAAATGAAAAGCTGTATGCTTCTAAGGACCGAATGCCTTGATTCTTATTGAGGAGTGCCAGCGAGTGCCAAATCGGGATGCAGATGATGTATTCTGCCCAATTCCATCGTCTGGTGGAATTCAGAAGCTCTTCGAATCGTTGTGTGCATGCATGCATCTATGGCGTAAATTATTGGCAGATATTTCGCAGCACCGCAAGTGCATTGATGAGCTCATTCGATTGGGCTGACGGCACTCCGAAAGAATTAGAACCCGGTCAGAGCCACCGATTGACCATCGATGCTGTGTGGTCACCAGATCCTTTGCGTAGGTGGAGGTCAAATTCGAGCCGAAATGAGTGCAGATGTTGCGAGCCTATGCTACCTCGGGCAATCCCTAAACCATCGAAGACCATCGAAGAAAACCGTCATCACAGGGAACATTTGTTGCACGCTCGGAACGATGAGAGGCCTAACTCAAAACTCTGAGAGCCAGTCGTTCTGCTGTCAGATCAACAAGATTTACGCGCAAGACTTGGGCAAGTTTAGGAAGACCCAACAAACTTTCGTATCATCCAAAACACAACGAAAGTTTATTGATAGAGAGAGAGAGAGAGAGGAGGGCTTTGAAGATATAGAGGTAAAGGATCCCATATTGCAGTGGAGGTAGATTTGACATGTTACCAGAAGTTTCGCCTTTTCTACTTGGATCTCGTTTCTACTTTATCCGAGTGTCGGGGCGAAGATAAACAAAAGAAAGACAATCGAATATTGCTTTTCTATGACTTGTCTTGAATGAAAGTCGTTAAAGATCGAAGAACGAAATCTAGGCCATGCCAAGGGAAAGTGGAATCATGACAATATTATTATATCTCGGGAATCTGCGAGAGCCTCCGCTGTCAACTTTTCAATCTTTCTACAACAATGGCCGACAATCTGGGGTAAAGCAGAGGTAGGCTGCAAGTCCATGATTCCCATGACTGCCTCTGCAGCGTGTGCTATGATTTCCCTAAATGTTCCCTAATCAGTTTCTTACATTTCAGCTTTGCCTTTTGATATTGAAAGTCAAAATTTGCTGCCCACCTTTTGGTTCAGAGACTTTGGATCTCATCTGTTCCAAACCGCAATCACCAAATCTCCTGCTTTTCATCATGATCATCCTTCTCTCTCTCTCTCTTTCCTCCTTTTATTTTCTATATTTTATTGTCGTATCGAGTCCATAGTCCGGGCGTAGCGAGTAAAACAGAAATTAAAACAGTGAGTAAGTCAGAGCAGGGGAATGCACGTGTAAAAATCATGAGCTGGAAAAGTAGAAGGGTAACACATGACAGTCTATGATAGTAAGAAGTCGAGTCCTATGTTGGGAGGCATGATGACATATCATAACAGCGGAGGCTGATGTACTCAAAGGCAAGCGAGAAGTAAAGTGCCCATCCTAAAAGTGAGAGCAATGAGTAGATACAGATAGGTCTCTCGAGCCCATGTCTTTGCCATGCTCATGGAAGACGATTGTGGACCTCGATGTGCTGTGTTCCCGTCCAATGATGGCTTCCTCGCACAAGCAGGCCATGAAGTCACTCGAGATGGGCTCGGGGGTCTCTCGGACCTATGCCCTGGCTGCTGAAGCAAATTCTCCCTTCACTTTTTGTCCATTCTTTCTCGTTCCTAGTTTCTAGAGAAATGTTTCACCTTTACATTTCAGAAAGTGACGACGTGAACTTCAGCAAAAAGGATTAAACTTTTGAAGTAGCGAAGAGGTCACTTCTTTGGATACTAATCTAAGTTATTTTATGGCTCTTGTGGAAATGAAAGTGTACATATCGCTGAGAAATCTCAATTCACTTCTACAACGTGAGATACTTTCAATGAGAATTATCTCTCCATATAAAATTTCCGAAGAATATGATGTACATGAGAATCCATGACCTCACTTGAAAACGTAAGTAACACATTATTGAAAACGTTAACTACTCAACCTATACTAAACATAGATTGCATACTTTACATATTTAATAAAGCAACTCATAGAGTATCAAACGTCACATTGTGTAACATCTAGTTTAATTCATTGTGCGTTTGAACCAATTAAACTATAAGCCCTGGATTCGCTATATTCCTTCCACTTATCACGTGTTTTTCGTGCTTGGTGCAATCATTTCTGTATTTTCTTATTAAAATGATGCAATTTTGATAAAAAAAATTTCAGAATTTTTGTAGTTTTTTACTTCAAACTCAAAGGCCTGAAGGATGAACACTATATTTGAAGCGAACTTGAAATACTTTTTTGGGGAAATAATCTAAGTTTCGTATGGATATTTTTATGTTGAATAAGATGATAACATTATTTCACTCTTACTGTTGGTAGTTTAAGCTCTTATAATTTAATGTATAGAGTTTTTCAAATTTTATATCATTAAATTTTCAATATTGACTTGATATTGTTTTTCAAAATAGTTTAAATTTTTTTATACATTTTCATCCCGATTTTGTATATTTATGGTAAATTTTTTCATATATAAATACATATATGCATGAAAACAGTATATGCCAATGCGACAATGATAATGTAATTAATTATTAACACCATGAGTATGATGTATCTTGTATCATATTATCATGATGTTCATACATGAAGATAGTCATGTACATGAAAATTGATTGTTGACTGAACTCATCTATCTATTTCTTAAACAAACTTATGTTTTGAAGGTTTTGAACAAACTTGATTGTGAAATAATATATGCATGTGAGGATATATCAATAAAAAACCTAAAGAGAATAATGAGAGTGGATTCAAAATATCATCTTTGTTATGTATAATTGCATTTACTTTGCATAATAAGATGAAATTTTCAGTTAGATATGATAAAATGTTATTTGTAAAGATTTCAGTGACAGAAGCTGAACATTCTTTGAATTTATTTTTTGTTATATACTTTCAAAAATGAAAATTTTGCATTAATATAAATCAATTTCATGATACATTGCATGAAATGTTTACAACATCATTTGTATGTGCTATTTTGATCAATAGTAATAACATTAATTATTTCATAATTATTTAATTTAATAATATAATCTATAAAAATGAATTGATTTTTATGGGTTACAACATAATTTTTTCAAAAGGGATTATACGTAATTTTGCAATATATATTTATTTCAATCTAGCTTATCATCTTATTATATACAGGTAAACTTATGACTATGTCAAGGGCTGGAAAATTTTTGCGGATTGGATCAGATTAAGCCACATGCTCCAAAACTTGTGCAAGCCAACCAAGGAATCCATTTTTTTTGGGAAATATCATACCAACATATGTTTTAAAGTTTTGATACATATTAGTGAAATTGTTACTTTTATCAATTCTATTATTTGTTTTTGCTTGATATATGTTATCTTGATATATTTTTTCCTATCATGATGTTACTTTATGTAAATTTTAGACCATCTACATTATTGACTTGAATAATTTTAATACCCATATATATTTATAATTTTTTTCATTAGATTGTTAATAAAAATATTTTGAATAAAATTTTTAATTTAAAGATAATACTTTTAAATTTAATAATAGTGGGGAAAAACAAAGGAGAATAATATGCTTGAAATGAACTAGTTTAATATAATATTCACTTTCTTATTATAAATAATCTAAAAATAAAAGAATTTGATTTAGATTTTATTATCATACGTTTCTCAATGATCTTAAATATCACTAAGACTCCACAACAGTTCATACTATGTATCATACATACATGTTTCTGAAATGAGCTTACAAATAATTCAATACAAACCAATTCAATACCATAAAGTTTCATCTCTATTTTGATTAATGTTTTCTATAATGAGTAGTCAAATTTTGATAATTCAAAAATTTAATCTAAAAACTTCATTATAATCATATTTTTTCTTATTTTATATCAATTTGTGTCATGAAAATTTAGCTTCAATGTTTTATCTTCCTTGTTGAATAAATTCCAGTGTTTTTTTTTCTTACTTGTTTACTTGCTTTTACGGTTTTGAAGCCAATACTATTATTAATCATTAATAATGTCTAATACATTCATTTCTCAAATCTTTGTAAATTTCTCTGATGATTTTCGAATGCTTTTAACTCAACGTTTCAATTGTGTTATACTATCATTTTGACGTTATTATCAAATGTGATGAATGTAAGGTTTGTTTTATTCAAGCTGTCTTGGATAATATCAACTAGTAATTTTGAAAACTTTTCATGCGGGGTAGAATCTAATCATGCTATTTGTATGGATCTAGTTTTAAGCAGACTTGTTAAATGACAAGCTGATTGACCGAGAATCAATTGATAATATAGATGTTTTTCAATCTTCTGATTTGCAACGTTCAACAGTGGCAGATTCTGGAATAAGTCTATATGAATCAAACAAATCTAAGAACAATTTTATCAGCCTGGTTGTATAAAGTTCAAGAAGGTTCTTACATTCTCGTTACTTCCTAGAACTGTATCAGTCGTTAGGATATTTTTCTCCTCATTCATGCTATTTTGTATGAGATTGAAACATCCGCAACACATATCTCATAGACAAAAGTACATGCAAGGTCAATATGAAACGATATACTGTACAACTTACAATTGGAAAATAGATGATAGTTCCAACTCAAAATATCAGAAGATAAAGAAACGAAAGTAATAAGTTACCCAAGTGGATGGCAATATATATAACAATACCCATCAAGACGTAAAGTGAAGAATGCAAAAAGAAGCTAAACTAGTATGCTAGGCCTTGAACTCATCATGATGTAACATATGTCCAACATCGCCTATAAATAAGAAACTGAAGTTGCAAACATGGATAGGGAATAACCTTCCTCTGTCGCACGTTGCCAATATACATATACAACTAGCACTAATTACCCTTAAGTACATGTTGCAAATAAATCTAAATCTTTGCTTCTTGAAAGTAGATTCCATCGATGTACATTCCATGCATCGTATCAAAGAGGTCAAATTTGGTCTTTTCTTTTACCCAAAAGCGAGGCTTGAAACCAGTGCAAAACTATATCAAAGAATCATTTACAGGGCTTAGAGAGAACAGGGCAAGTATTATCGAGCCCTACGAGGATGAAATTAAACGTGTAACCAAACGCTAGGCAACAATATCACAAACGGGAATATGTATACAAATATCTATTGTAAGTCTTTCGAAATGTTGATCTTATAATAACAGGAGTTAGAAATAGAAATGGTCTTCATTAAATATGCCTTGCTATGATACTTGCAACTGACTTCCTTCTGCTTATGGATTCACGAAATTCAGCAGTTGAGGTTATCATAGGTACCACACTATTATTCCATAACGTGTTCGATTCATACGATCTTGACTTGGATCCAACCCTTTCGACATAGCTGCATCGGTCAAGGTTTTCGTCATGTGGTCCTTCACTCCAAATAGACATATGATTGCTATCTTCAAAATGAAAGCCTCCATTTGGACTACTCAGTCAAGCGAACATGTAGTTCTTTAGACTGAAGCATCCTGCAAAAGGCAGGCGAAAGTGATGGGCATATAATAGTTCGTTAGTTTTCAGAAGAGCCCATTAAAAGCATGTAGAAAACTTCGGAGACAAGTTTTAGATTCGCGATCCAGTATGACACAATGAATAAGCTACCGAAAAGTTCCATTCATGTCTATCCAGGATGAGGACAGAGTTCACCCTCCTGAGGATCCAAAGTCAGATGATCGGCTATTCGGGAGTAATTGCAATTGCGATTGACACTTAAAAGTTGGACACGACCCATCCCACCCACTTGCCAGACGTCAAACTGACCAGCGATTTTCAGAGTTGAGTGATGGTGGAGGTATGGGGAAGGTGTTGGACTCGGCTGTGTTGGAAAGTCGTGGAGATCTGTTATTGTCTGAACCTCGAACGCCTTCATCGAGACCTGCTTTCCTTATGCCGGTACTGACTCACTGCAGACATCATCTGAATTTGGTCAAGCTTTATGTGAACCTCAGCTCGGTGACAAGAAAATCTTCTGTCTCGATTCAGTTTTCGCTTTACTCGGACCGCTTCGGCTCACGTTTGGCTTTGATGACCACAGGGACAACACATGGGTTCATTCTACAAGAAATCCAACAAGAAATCACGTAGTCGATGTTGAAACTAGCGGTAGAAAGTTAGAAACTCGACATTGACTTTCGACATGTGAAGTGAATCGAAGACAACTTGACTGCGGCCACGAAAGTGCCCTTCCACCTTCGTGCACAGATCCTACTCCTCCCGATCGAACAATTGAGGAGAAAGGTGAACGATCTACCGGAAGATTTGCTTTCTATCTCATAACGGCTGGGAATGAATCTGGACTGTTTTGATGGAGTCTATGCGAGCTAGTTGCAGTAGCTGGTCATAACTCGGGGCTTGTGAAGCTCGCTCGCTTGTAGACGAAACGCTCACCGCTCCAGGAACCTGTTCGAAACAAAAGTCAGGTCTTCGTGTATTAAGTTGTAGGCGAATCTTACATCATGCTCCACTCTGTGCCAATAAGCCTCGCAGATCAAGATTTTCCTCTATCGAAGTTCCAGAACCCGGAAATCTCGGTGTGCCATCTGAGGCTCTGAGCTAGTGACTACTTGCTAGAGCTGCAAAGTTCTCGAAAGTACAATCAGAAAACTGTTAAACTGTGCGTTTGGGCCACGGCTGATAGATGATGGATGAATAGGTAGATAGATAGATAGATAGATGGGTCTAGGCAGCTTCGAGAGAACTTTCGCAAGGTAGGGATGATGCTACTACGACCATCGTACAGTATAATAGATGGTGTTGGCCCTTGGGCCGCATAGGCATATATGTATATATCACCACCACCATCATCATCACCCTGGACGACGACGAGGAGCAAATTTTCACGCAACGTAAAAGGTGTGAAGGAAGGAAGATGAGAAAGATTTTCTCTCCTGCTTGCTTGCTTGCCCCTGTCGAGCCGTGTCGGTCTCTGGCGGTCCCTGCAGAATCAGGTCCATAGAAGTGCAGCTGTTGATGATTACCCAGCACATTGACTAATCTGTCCAGAATTCTGGAAGCTTACTCGGCTCATCATTACCTTGGAAAAGTTATCGCTCTGTATGCATCTACTACTACTACTACTACAGAGAAAGTCTTTGCAAGCCTTTGCATCTGCTATGCGCTGCTTTAACTAAAATATCTACCTTACGTATGCGTGTGCCCGATTCTATATATATATATATATATATATATATATATATTCATTCTGTGGGAAGATTGTGGATCCCTGATGCCTTGACAAGCTCATGGATGGATCTGCTCAATGTAAGGAGAGAGCGAGAACGAACAGATACTATGAAGAAAGTGCTTTTCCGAACATCGTGTTTGTTGGGAATCTACTCGAACTCTCCTCCTTCAAACATTCCATGTTTACATGCTATATCTCCGGAACTTTGGTTACGAGTTCGTTCACCCTTTAAAGTTAACATGATTTACCCCGAAGCACAGAAAATCTCTTTACATTCATTGATTCTTCCTTCCTTCCTTCCTTCCTTGCAGCCAGTGGAATCAGATGCAAATGTGACCACTGCTGCTCAAATCTAAAGACACCTCAGCATCCGATGATCTTCTCATACATAAAATTAACATATGATGTGAGTACAGGGCCTTTCAGCAATATTCTCATGATTTACCGTGGTAATAAAAGTTTGCGGATATGATGGGATTTAGTGAAGTAGATATGAATCAGTGACTGCATTGAGTGAGGTTGAAGGAACCTCATATTGTGGGCAGGTGTATAATATCGACTTCTTTTTCTTCCTCCTACCGTTGTTGCTGCGTTCATATACAATTAATAATTCGTGCTCGATTTGCACATTTGTGTTTTGAGAGAAGATCTGGTTTTTTATGCGGATTGATTTTGAATAAGGAGGTTATCTACCTCGAAAGAATCAAAGGATAATATAATCTGAATTGGGATATGTCACTGCTTCTTTAACGGCACCATATCTACCTCATTGCAGTCTAGAACAAATATAAAAGTTAGAGCGTTTACATGGGACAGGCCTGTCCTGCCGAGAGTGCAGATACCAGACTAAAGCCCAGGCCTCATAAAATTAGGCGAACGCCTAATTTGAACAAAATAAGGTAAATTAGGCGTTTCCTGTGCGGGCAAATTAGGCGTTTACTAAAGAAGATCCTTTTGTGATCATTTTGTCGAATTACTCGACCGGATTGAGTAAGCCAAGCATTTCGCCGATCGTGCCAATCTGTTTAGTCTGGAACACGCCCTCCAGCGACAGTGTTGGAGTTCAGAATTACGGTTGTTTGGAATCTTAGTCTAAAAGAGAACAACAGAGAAAAAATGTAAGTTCTACTCTCATGCCGCCAAGTTGAGATGTAATTGATTCTGCTTGATAGGAACCAGCTAGCTACACTGAGCAATGCATCAACAGCTTTGGCACTGTGGGGTTCGGCAATAGACCTTACTCTTGAGAGATGGACCTTAAGAAATAAAAGAGTAAAACTCAGGTCACTTCAAATTAATTATACACGGTTTGGGCAAGAAAACATGTTCAGTTCAAAGTTGTAGCTGAGTGTTTTGAAAATTGACCTTTCTATCAGCGCATTTCGTTCTTTTCTTTTCCCATCTGCTAATACAGATTACACCTCATTTCACTTCGACATACAGAAAAGGCTTGTTTCCGTGTCCTTATTTTAAACGATCGGCTCATTTTAAAGTTGGCTAATTAGGCGTCTATTTTGTAGAACGCCTAATTTCATGAGGCCTGCTATAGCCCGAAGTGTAGAGTTCAAATTGTAGATCTGTTCCCAACACTGATGCTTGGAAAAAATTGCTATGGTTGATCTTTAGATAGTGCAAAAACTTGTACTTTGCTAACTTCAAACAAAATGATCAAAGTCTTTTATACTATGTGTAAGAGTAAAATGAATACTTTAGATTGATTTCAAAACTTTAACCTCATTATATTGTAAAAATATATGAGTTATTTAAAAAGGTGCTTTTTTGAAATCTGATAATGATGTATTCAATTATATTTATGTTGAACGTGTAGAACTAGTAACATAGAGATAATGGTTATATTATCAGCATCTATCTAAGCTTCATGACATGCGAGTGTTAAACTATGCATAGCATTAACTAGTCATCTATATATAGCAATAGAAACAACCTCACTAAATATAACATATGACAAGTTAGGCAAGGTAGGCCCCAATCGTCTAGTATAATTAATTCTCATGCAGTCTTGTACAAACATACCAAAATCTATCCCCATATTGGAAAAATAAATTTTGAATTTGAAAAAACATAATAAACTAACTATCATTTTTAAGAATAACATTTATAAAGATACTCTAAAGAATATCATTTTTTGTAACAGCACCAACTAATTAGGTTTCATGGATGTTGTTCTCATGAGACAGATGATTTCAAGAAATCTGAAAAAAAAATCTCATGGAAAATTAACAACAAATGTAACTTTCATCATACGTTTTTTCACAAATCATACAACAAGTTTAAGCTCTATAAATCTATCTATTACTATCTATAAATCTATCTATTACTTAAACTGTTCAGAAAAAACTTCTGTACGGCTAACAAATTGGATGTGAGAATGAGGGATATAGTCGTACTTGCCGAGCCAACAGTTAGGGTCCACATGGTGTATAGAAGGAATTCCCCATAGCATTTTGGAAATATACTCCTCGATTATTACTTGTCCCAACAACACACCTTTCAAAAGAAACTATTTGGATGACGCGACCATCTCCTCACGTCAAATCGGCGCCTCGAGTCAAATGGAACCTTATGATTTAACCTTTTAAACTTGGATACATAGAGAAGTTGGAGAAGTGATCACTCTGACTTGTTTAAAAAGATCCATTTTTTCCATTTCTTTTTGGATAATTACTAATATTTGAACAATCCTTCAATAAATCCAAACATGGACTTCAAACAAAACCAACGCAAGCCTCACTTCTGGACATGTAAGTGAGATAAATGCCACCAGGAGATCAAGAAAAGTAAAACCTGCATAAAACAATAAGATTGACAGTCCGGATGTTTTGAGAACCACGCAAAACTAAGGAAACATGCACTCGATGCAAAACAAGTTACATAACAAGTGTAGTATGAACTCTACTTATTACCATGTCACTCCAGATCATAGACCCATGACGTGACTTAAAATAGAGAGACAAGCATGTCAAAAGAAAGAAAGAAAGAAAAGCATAAAAGCTCATGAAAGTAGCATTGTAGAAAGAGAAATGCACGTCCCAGACTCAACGGGGCAGTGAGTACTCGCTTAAAAATGATGATGTTAGAACCACGGAGAAAACAGGATGCGAAATACGTTTGCAATGAGACGACCATGGATGAAGGGCAACGTCTGAGGACAAGTTGGTGTGAAAAATGTGAAAGTAAATTTACATGAAAAAGGCAGAGCCGCTAGGGACAATTGTCCAGGTGAGAAGGGACACGACACCGATTTGAGATCGGTGAACCAACGGAAGAAAAAATGTAGTTAGTAGTCGGGAAGAAAGTGGTGTTCAACTGCAGTGGTGACGCTTTGAGACATAGATCACAACGCCTCAACTTTTAAACAAGGCGTCATCGAGAGAGCCAAAGTAGTGATTACGAACACGGGAAGAAACTGAATGATACATTTGCACGATTAGCGTCTACAATCGACTCAGATTACAGCATATGACAAACGGGAGACGTAATGGTCGAGCGTAGAGAGGCTGCAATTCAAATATATGAGCCCTGTTTGGGACGTTAGAAAAAATCATACACTCAGCAAGGGATCAACCCGTGTAAGAACAAAACGCCTGTAGAAGATCTTACCAAACCTATATTTCTTTATCATGAACGCAAAAAAGCCTCTTTCTCCTGGAACGACTCTTTGCTGGTAAACTGGATAACTATGATCTTGAGACTACTCCTTGCTGGGTCTATAATTGCTACCACATGCTTTCCTGTCAAATAACAGTTTCGTGTTTTCTTATGGCTGCCAGGCAGTGGGATTTCTTCCAAATCTCATACGAAATTAGTTCCCAAACCCTAAACCTTCAATATGTCAAAAGACAACATAGCCGCCTCAGGCAGAAGGTAACGAAACTATCCGAGAATCTGAAGGCCATAAGATATGCAAGAAGCACGTTCAAGAAGTATACAATTCTGCAGAGTGTACGTCAGGAATCGAGAACTGAGGGGCTGGTATATATGGTTGAACCTCATCTTTCATCCGAAAATCATCTACAATTCTAAAGAACCTCCCTGATGGAAAAATATGAACCAAAAGTAGGATATCATCACCGTCTTCTAGGTCCAGCTCCTCCAGGAGCCAAACGTTGTGGCGCAGCACCGGGTGGCCCTTGTCCTGGTGCTCCCTCTTCAGCTATATTAGCAACTTGAGAAATAGCGTTGAGGACAATGAGTCCAATGGGGAGTATGTACATCCACTGCAATACAAGAGCAAAGAGTATTAGCATAAGCTTCTGACACATGACAATAAAACTCGCTAGAGAATTGACATACAAGTAGTGATCAGTTTCATATTCGCAACCCGAACTGAATTGTTATAAGTTCAGTAAATGCATGAGACATGGTAGTGATTGCAGCCTTCAAACCATTAATCAAAATGTAGTAAGGTTTTGAGAAGTAAGACGAATGGTATCTAAATTTTGAACGGGAGAAAAGACAAGTAAAAAGAAGTCATCATTTTGCTCTAATTTCAATCAGTTAACTTGCAAGATCAGAAAAACCTAAAAGCTGCAAAAGACAAAGTATAGGAAATAAAGTTGCAAAAAGCAAGGACAGCGAGTCGAGTATCAAAGACTTTGAACATGACGGCAAAGACATACAGGTGCACGGGGATAATGCAAGTAAAACAAGGTGATATGAAACACAGAGCAGTTCCAATGGCATTCAAAACTGCGACAGCGGATGAACATATGTAAAGGCCAAACAAGTTAGAAGATATTAAAACTTTGCTATCTTTCATACAAGCTGTTTTCAAACACTACAGCTGACTGCACTTCGAGAAGGGAGAACCTCTGTACTTTATATTCACCACAATTCGGCCGCCGAAGTAGGAGAACGATCAACAGAAGAATGTAGACAATTGACGACCTTGTTCTAAGTGTAATGCATGGAGCTTTCATTCAACTATTCAACTACAAAGTCCAATCTAGGAAATTATGATGACTTACATATTTGGCCCAGAAAGACTTTTCAGGTATCTTCTTCACCAGCGTTCCATCCTCGGCAACTTCATCTCCAGTAGCCTCAAAAGCATCAATATTTGTAAGAGACCTGCAAAGGCAGAAGGAATCAAGCCGTGGAGACTGGCAACAACTGGTTTGAAACCGCTTTGCAAAATTCAACACCACAGTGGCCAGATTTCCAAATTTGTAATTCACATCTAGGAGATGCTCACCTATCTTCACTTCACATTCTACAGTGATAAACCAAATGAACAACTTCCTGTTTCTTTTCGTTCACATACACCTCCTTCGGCAGAAAGATTCTAAAATGAGATATCTATTGCAAACATAAAGTTCTCTAACGTTCAAGAAGTACCTTAAGGCCTGCTCACTGCTCTTCACAACGATCAATGAGTCAAACGACCACTGTGAAGGCTGAAAGAACAGGAAATTGTCAGGTCAGAACCTCAAACCTGTGAAAATTAACGGAGAACAAGATTAAGATTTAGATTGATTTAAAACGTTGAGCATCCGCATGTTAGTTCATGTCACCAGTCCCCAAAAAAAAGTTCGAAGTATAAATTTAAACTTACAGTTTGTAGTGGTCGAGGGTAGGGGCAACTGACAGCAGAACCATACGTGACTCCAATGACCTGGCCCTGGTCCTATTGATCAAATCAATAAGAAAATACTCATTAACAATTGAAGATAAAATGGACACAAGAAGCTAGAAATTTCATGAAGATTGTTTCAGACGATTAATACTTTCAAGACTATCTCGTCTTGGAACTAAGTTCTTATCCTCACAAGCAAGGTCCTGAATTTGTATGAATGTCCAAAGGCAGTGTTGATTGAGGCTTACGTGAGTTCAACTGTACTTATTGCTACTTGCTTGCTAGTAAAACCCTAACGACTATAGACCCCGCATCCTCCAGCTATGCGTGCTAGTACTAAAAGATTGAGTAGAGTGAACAAGATTAGATGATAGGTGAATTGGAAGCGAAAAGACGATCTAAAAGTGAAGAATGTCTCTCTTTCAGCAGGATTTTTCCCCAGTTGAGAGTTGAAATATGAGATTCATTACTGCACATACCACGTGAAAATCGAAGCGCTCTTGAAAATTACTTAACGCAAGACAGCGCTGTGTGAACCACAGACAAACCAGATAAAAGATCAGAGTGGATTTAAAATTAACGCATATTATTCAGCAAGATAGCAGTTTAGATGGCTGTTCAAATGGATGCATAGCAATATTGAGAAGCCTATGCAAATAAAAGTTGCAATGCATTCCATCGGGACCAGCGGAGAGGCGTCAACTTTCCTCGAATGGGTAAACTTCAAAAGCTTGGAATTTGTCGATACTTGTCAATCTACATCTTTCACTTACAGCTTTGACAGAAGTAAGAGCAAACTCTTCTCCTGGGCTGATTACATTGGCTGGAACACGAACGCTGTAGAAGTCATCATTGTCGAGTAGAGTCTGCACAAATAGGCATTTTCAGGTTTAGAAGCAGGAGTCACCATTTGCTCTAAAGTAAATGTCCTCTCGTAAGAGACTTCAATAAAGAACTATTCGTGTGAGTGCTCAGAAAGATCCGTAATGAGAGGCCGTTTTCAACCTACAGGATTCATAGTGAGCATATCCACTTCTAGAGGAAAATTCAGGGTCACTTTCATAAGAGGTACTGGAGCTCAGATCTAACCAAAAATCCAAAATCACGGTAGAGCTAGTAAAGAATTCTTACTTGATTGTTAGAGAGGAGAAACAAGGAAGACAAGAGAAAACGATACAGACTCAAAGGCATATACAATTCTGGTTTCAAATCTGATCATTTTGGATTAAGAACTGCGGAAACTGAAAATTTACTGCTTCAAATTTGAATTAGAAATGGTTTAGCGATACAATGCACCATATGAACTTATGTGAACTATACGTGTTGTGAGAAAGAACGTTACCTGAAACAAGTACTTCTCTTCGCTGGTGAATGAGTTTCTTGAAAGTCGGAACTTGAGAAGGGTCTGCGCATGGCTTAGTGAATATAAATCAGGTCGGAAAGCTTTCACTGGGAAATATATACATCTACGGATAATGAAGAATACTTAATCAACCGGGCTACTTTTGAATCTGGTATTCTCCTTGCTTCATAATCATACCATGGCCTCGTAAATCATTTAAACTCGGGGGATGGTCACATTATCTAAAATGTCCTTCGTAACTGTGAAACTTTGCAGAAAAAAAAAACAGAAACAGATTACAGACGTTTACAAAATTAGCTTTAAACTATTTCATTCACTCAGAGTATGAGAAAATAAAAAACAATAACGCATTGAAGCTCCACGAGCAGACCGTATCTTACCTCAAGTTTAGTCTCAACAACAAACAACACTTTCAAGTGTCAAGAAACAAAGCCTAAACCTAAAGATCAGCAATCAGCCATATGGTGAATTCAAAATTATGTATGGGCGAGTTAAATTTGCCCCATCGAGGATCAGAAGAAAATCTAAGCCACCACAATGGAGCATTTTCGTGTAGGAATTAAAGTACGAAACTGAACAACACACCTGACCACCTTTGACTGACTCACGAACACGGGCAGTGAACACTCCAGCAGACTTGAATTCAGATCCACCAAAAGAATGCTCGAGCGTAAACTGCACTTTCTTATCGGCACCAGAAGGAACTCGACTAGCAGATGTAGGGATCTTCACCGCTGGTGCTGCTCCCGCTGGGGCTGGGGCTGCTGGCGCTGGTGGTCCTCTTGCCGGCACTATCCACTCATCTTCATCTTCAGGAAGCTCATCTGACTGAAAAGCTGTGGATGTGCTCCACAACGCCACAGTAAGAATAATCAGACCGATCCATCTGACCTTCATAATTCAGAATTTACGGCCTTCAATTCCCTTGCGCCGCGCCTCGCCTTCCTTCCTTTACAACTGGACCTTGCTTCCCGTCATGTGATGCGATCCTGTGATCAGTGAGGTGAGGTTTTCGGGGAAAGAAGGACACAGAGTGCATCGACAGACGAGGACAGACGAGGTTACATCCCAATGATCGCATACCATCCCTTGGAGTACTGGACTGCCTCCATACTGACAGCGGCATGACTGCCATACAGTTCAGAACGTGGTCCGACCCCGTTAAGAAGTACGACTGAGTGCAAAACATGGATCGGGGGATTAAGAATTAAAATACAATATTTACGTCAAATTTGGGTTTTCATTGGAGTAGCTCTGTAAATGTCATCACGGGAAAGATTGTCTTTTTTGGAAATCTGACCCGGGATTTTTTCAGTGTGGTCATTATGCGAACTCTTTATTAAAATGCCTAATCAGACCCTGGATCGAAGCAACCTCTCACAAATAAATCTTGAGTTTAAGCTACAATATGATGACTATGGGATGGTAAAAATAAACTTCAAAAGTTTAGCTAATTGATACTTTGAGAATTTGCAAAGTGGACCAAATCCCGTCACAAGAAACCTCGATTACGCTTCATGCATAGAAGTATTTCATATTTCACATGTTCCAAGTTCAGTATCTTCATTCGTCTTTGTTTATTAGAACATTTTTGTTTTCTTCATTTGACCATCCGCACACTTTGGGATTAAATCGAGTGATTTCCCTGTGTTAGGATATAGAAGCACCACTAGAGCCTCTAGTGGTGCACCACTTAGCCTCTAGTCTAGAGGCTAAGTTGATCCATGACGTTGTCATAAGACCATTTCTATGGAAAGGTGTTGTATATACTTTTACAAAACTTGATGAATGCACATACCATGGTAATAATTTCTATAATCTAGAGAAAAACTTATTATATTTTAAATTGAGTAGGTGAAAGCCAGCTATGAAAACTTTTTCTGTTCAGAAGTTTAAAAAAAAAATCAATTAGTATTATTGTACGTAAGATTGATTCAGTTCTTTGGGAGATTTTTTGAATGAAAGAAATGTCTCAATATGAAGTCTTGATATTGGGAGTTTATTTAAGATTGATATTTTCATAAGGTCTCAATCCTATATTTGATCATTAGAGTTCACATGATATTTTCAAATAATATATGATATCATTGTTAATATCAAAGCAAGTAAATAATTATAAAATAAATTTTTAACAAATAAAAAGACTTGAATCACAATTTGATTATTCTACTAAAATGTCTACCTTTCTCTTATTTCAAATAAAATATGGCAAAATTTACTCAACCATTGAATAAAAATTGAATCATGAAAAAGAAAAACAGAAATACAATGTATCTATATTATGTATCAAATAAATTTCAAAGTTTATATCAATATATCAGATCATTGATTCACTTTATTATGTTTTTCAAATTGGATTCTAGTACATAAAATAAAGTAATACTATAATTTTAACTACTTGAAATATTTTTTTGATAAAATCATACACATACTTTGAAAAAACTAGATTATAAAATAATTAAAATAAATGTGCATTAGATTGATATTCATGAAAAATAACCAAATCTATACTTTGCAATAATGTTTTATATGAAGTCAGCAAATATTTTATGTTCGACTTGGCCAAACTTCTAGATTCTATTCTGTGTTCAATAAATGTGGAAAATTTAATGTATAATACTTGATCATTATCTATTGCGTTGAAACTCATTATCAAATTGAAAAATTATGTTGACAAATAAATTTGATTTGTGCATAATCATATTCAAAAAATGACAATGATAAAAGTAAAATTATAACAAAAATTCAATATAATATCAGCTTATATTATGTATATCATTAATACTTGTAAAAGTATAAAAAACAAGACAAAAAGTGATAATCAGTTAGAATTATGGCAAATTTTTTGTCAAAAACATATATATTTGAAAATGAAAACTATTTTTCTTTTAAACAATGTGTCTCAAAAAGTCAATGTAGACGAGTATAATCTGCTTGACGATGATAAAGAAAATGAAAATTCTATCACATGCAAATCATCAAAATAAGCTGATAATATAAAAATTATTTTTAATGTATTTTATTATAGAATTTTTTTCCTTTTTTCAAGTCTGGATATTAAAATAAAAAGACTTATTTCAAACGGTTCATATTTTTATATATGGATGTTGTGAAGAGATAGACTTATTATAATGGATTTGATTTTGTGAAAATTTTCTGAAATATATGAAATAGATTTTTGATGAGCAAAAATTGAAGAAATGAGTTTCATTATGTCAAGTGATGACTAGACATTGATATTGTAAAGAAAAAAACCTTGTAATTATAAAAAAAATAAATTATTAACAATTTTGAGTAAAATATTATTTTAAAAACGTGAGATAAAATTGTTGATTGATAACAAGACTAAAATTTCAATGAATCTTTCAAGAATTCAATCTGTGATTCATAGAAACTGGATGTGCAAGTTGAACAATTAATTGAACCATATAAGAAAAATACTGATTATTTCTTTGATATGTTTCAAATAATCTAAATATAAAGACGTAAAAAAGTACATAGTTTTCATTTAAAAAAAATGAATTACCTGACTAATATATTTTTACTGAAATATTTTAATCTGATTATGTGTAAACTAAATATTATTGAATCATTTCTTATCAAAATTTTGACAAATAAAAGCTACCTCATGTAATCAATTGGCTTGAAAAAAATCATCAAATGTTGATTTGTAGATTGATGAAATTTTTATATGAATTGAAACAAGCTTTTTATAAATTAATATGATTTTCATCTATGTTTATTTAGAAAAAAAACTAGTGATGATAGTCTTAGTTTCATTATTTTGGTTATCATATCGATAACATGATTATTTGAATAATACAATCATCCAACACTAATAGATGCAAAAAATTAATTTAAGATTTTGATTTATATAAATTTCAAAAAAATTTAACTAAAATATAATAAATGGATTTAAATATATCATAATTAATTAAAAATAAATGGATTTCAATGTGTGATGAACATATTTAACTTGGCAAGAATTGGAAAAGTTTGAATTTTGTGTATAGTTCATGTCAAATTTTCAACAACTAAATGTGCAATTGATGTTATATAAGATAAAAGATGTACTTAATTTTTTGTGATAAGATGTTAAAAATTGTATTTGATGATGTACACAATTATTTTTTTCTACTATAAACAAGGTGGAAAGATATAATTCAAATTAAAAAATAAATATATTGGAAAATTGTGAAATGAATTAAAATTTTTTCCAAGATAATATAAAAGATAGAGTTTTTTGTTTTTTATTGAATATTATCATATTTTTAGTTTGAAATAATGATGATTATATACGATATATGATACAATGAAAAATTAAATATTAATGTATATTTATACTTGTTAATGAATGACTTAATTATAAATTTACTTTGTAAAAATGCACTTGTAAATCATCTATAAAACTTAAATATGTGAATGCAACACACATAACAAAGTAATATATTTGATTGATTTGATTTATTATTTTTAGTATAGTAGCAAAATAAAGTTAATTAATCTTGTGACAAAAATAATGATTGATAATAGCATGAAATCCATCAACATCAAATATCAACATTGATATTTGATGTTGGGTGATCTACTACAGATTAACAATAAATTTGAACTAGTTCGGTAACAAATGATGTTATTTTATTAGAAGATTATGCATTTTGTAAACTTCATGGAGAGATAACAAGTTCAAAATTGTGAGCCCAAAATATGCAAGATAACAACAGCGAGAAAATCAGATAGACATACACGAGTAGACTGAGTTTCATTTTTGAGTACTACGTCCATGGGAAAAGCTCTCGCGTGAGATTATACTAAATGTTTTGGTAATACACAAATCCTGACATTAAATATCCTAGTGTCGACAAGACTTCTAGCTATAAATAGCTAGGACATGAGGTTACTCTTTAATCGGAGTTAACTTCAACACTCTCCTCATTAACTTGTGTTAAAGAAACAATAATCTCTAACCTTGCATATTATTATTCCATAAGAAATTATAGACAAAAATCTAACACAAGAACACTCTTTGGACATGAGTTTATTAGATCTAAATTGTAACCATAACAAAATGGAATGATAACAAAAGGAGTTAACTACAAATCTGCTAGCATATAGAGAACATGAACATTATAATCTATATAATTACTCCGCTATAAGTTCTAGAAAGAAACCTAATACAAGATCATTCTTCACATAAAAGTTAACTAGAACTAAATCGTAGTCATCACATAATAGAGTAATTATATAAAAAGATAAATGAAGATATTATGTTAACAAATTCTAGCTATGCTCCACATGCACAATCAGCATAGTACCATAATGTCGTTTGAAACTCTCCAAGGTAAAAACTTTGAAGAATGCATCAGTTGTATTGAGTTTACTGTCAATCTTGAGTAGCTCAATCATATTTTCAGAAATTCCAATTTACTTATGCTCCTTCTTGATCATTAATGACATAATGATTAAACTGTCCCACAAACATATCAATGAATGGAGATTTTTACTTGTTAATTCAAATTGTCACATTCAAATTTTGGCTCAAACACTCATACAAACTTGAAACTTCATGACATGCGCCAAAAAATCGTCAAAAACATTATCACCGTTAAGAAACCATCATCGTTAGAAAATTGTTATCTTCAAATAATATAATCATCGGCAGAAAACCCGTCAGCAACGTTGATGTTAGACTCATGCGACACAAACTTGTCACAAAACACAACCAACTTTGATATCAATTGTTAGTCCAAAATATGCAAGAAAACGATAGCCAGAGAATCAGGTAGACAAACACGAGTAAACTTAGTTGTAACGTGATTAATTCTTTTGAAATCTATGTTCATGGGATAAGCACTCGCGTGAAAGTGTATTAATTGTTCAAGTATTACACAAACATGGGATTAAATATTCCAGCACCGACAAATTAGAGTTTTGAGTATTTTTTTTTATAGTTTTGAAAACGTAGAGTCAGTTAGATAAACAAAAAACTTCTAGTGTCAAGTATAATATATGATTATGAGAATCTTGAACTTTGTCAAACAAAAATTATGCATATTCAAAAATTGCAATAGTTACAATTATATTACTTTTTCAATTTTTAATCAATAAATTTGGAAATGGATCATATTTATTGATCAAAGATGAAAATAAATGTATTCAATTGAAAAAATTATTGTAAAAATTCAAGAAACAAATTTTTTTGAAGGTTATTATCATACGAAAATATATTTAACTAGAAAACAAATTCATTTCAATAGAATAATTTCTGCATGTTCAAAAATATGATTATTTGAAATATTTTTTTTAGTTAAAAAACGTAATATTATAACAATGCTTCAAACCAAATTTTTTATATACATGTAACAGTGAATGTTCATCATCCAACACGATATTATATATGTATCAATGATGAAAAACTATTCTTATGAAGATCATGCTTTCATGTCTGATCTCAATTGAAAAAATACAAAGACCATATTTTTCATTTAAAGGAATAAAAATTATAAGAAAAATTTGAAGTCTTAATTTTTCTACAAGTTTAGTGCAGTAATTGCACTTCTTTTTTCTATCAAATTTCAAATGCAAAAAATGCACAAAATCAATGAATCAACCATCTAAGTTTCCAAACATATGAGAATTTATTAAAAAGAAATGTAAATCAAATAGATACTTGAAATCTAGAGTTAATAAGTTTGAACATTATCAACATTAAGATGAAAAAAATCTTACCAAAAAAACGCAATAAGCAATGAGACATCTTTAAATATTTAGTAAGTCAAGAGTTGATATTAGAATGAAGTGAACTCACAATGTAAAGTATTGCAAAAGATAGTAGAAAGTTAGAAAGTAGTGATAAATGATTTGCAAAGAAAGTATTTTAGATAACTCTTGTGTACCTATGTTTAGACAAATGTATGTAAAGCCCATGGGGAGATTATCAAATTTTTGATATAGCGCAAATCTTTACATGTCTATTGCACATGGATAGCTAATTTTCAGAGTAACTTATATTTGGTACTCAGGGAAACTCAAAACACTCGATGGGATCCAACATGTTTCAGTTTACATTATGGGATCCCATCGATGGCCTGCAGTCTTCAGTTATGTTCCAATACTATCTGGGGTTATTTCGTGTAGAACATGAAGTCACGGCAAGACCATATCCGGAGTAATTAATACTCATGGTGCCCGTCGTTTTCTTAGACATGGCTGCGAACTAGTAGCCAAAATACTCTGGCCCAACAGTGGCGGACACTCAGCACTCTATAGAGCAAATCAGTAGGTTATAAGAACATGGGTTGCGGTTGCGATAGAATGGTTCCATCAGGTAAAATGAAACCTTCAAGACCATTGAGTTTCCAAGGGGTCCATCAAGTATATTTTCTTCTAATTTTCACTAAGGAAAATTTGCACTCGTAGAAATTATGAATTCAGTTAGATACACACCGATTTATAACAAAAGAGTAGAACTTTCCTTTTATTTATATCCACGGGTTAGGCTTCTAGTCTTAATGAGAGTTTGCACCTTGCTCTTCTAGATGGTATTTCATAACATTAGATCTCCATACTTTGGATATCATAAATCGCGAAATAATCACATTTCTCATTATGATGATAAAGTAAACTAGCCCCAGATTTACTGCTCTATTTCATACCTGTTACTGGTTGATGTTGTCTTCACAACCTCTTTTTGTTATACAGTGGCAATTTCTTGGCAATTTCTATTCCAGTTGTCTGATTTTCCAGCATACACATGTGGAAAAACCCAGCTGCATGGACGTTATTCAGCACAACATTTAGACGTACAATTGGAGGTTACGCAGTACCGCTCTGTTTAAATCCTGTAACAGGCGTATGCTTAACGAAAAGGCTATGATTGCAGAGTCTGCTCCCACTAATCGAGAGCAGAAGAACAGTGGGGACTACTGGAGTCCCCGATGTAAGACATCTTCCTCTGTCGCAATAGTCACGCAACTAATAAACATTTGTTTGAAACCGTTCGGAGCTTAATAGCCAGGGCTCTCGAGGTTTATCAACTTTTGGCAAAAATCTCTTTAGAGATCATCCTTCATTTGGATTGTTTGTGCGCAGATCATATGCACATAATATGCAGGGTTTTGTACCCTGCATAGTATCTGCATCGATGTATATTCTATCGATGCCATAAACTATTGAGATTACTCTAGCTTTGTGGTCCTGATTGCGGGCCCAAGAAGAGAAAGCAACCTACCTTCCTTCTACATTGAGGAACCCCATATCGCCATTTCCCCACAACCAAACTTGGACCACTCTGTCAACGACAGGATATGCTTTTATTCCAACAGCGATGGAGAAGTTTAATTAAAGCAGCGGACTCCTGTAGTTGAGCAACAAGTAGAACGCCCAAGTTGCCGCTTGTGCAGGAACAAAACATACGACCGTATGATGGGTACACTGGAAACGGCGAAAAAGTGACTTTCGCGCAGACCGCATGTGCCACAAGTTGGAGGAAGATTACTACAAGCTTCCAACAAGTACATGAGTAGGACTGACTGCGGAGAAGACCATTCCGGTCGGTCAAACATGACCAAGTTCACGTAGGTCTCATATCCTTATCTAAAGCAGGACTCTGAGGTTCTGTGCAACATGTCGTATAATGAATGAATCAGGAGTGTTCAGGCACTTTAGCCTATCGGTCAATTCGTAGGACCAGATCACGCTCGTTCAATAGGGTAAATTTAGCCTAACCGTGCGAGTTATCAGAGGTGGTTTGCGGGCTGCATTATGGACTACAGATATTTAGCAAGTGGAAACTGTGAGGTTATGATTTTGAAAGCCAGATATTCTCACGGCAAATTAGAAGTTACGATATTGGACTATTCTTTCTTGATGTTATCAGGAAAGTGCCTACCAAGGAATCGCTCTGGGTGAAATAGTTGAGTAACTGCTAAAGACCTTCGGAGTTTTCGTCATCTCGATGCTTAAGAAATGTTACCGGTGCAGATCTAGTTTACGTTGTAAACATCTGAAAAGAATAATGGATATGCTTTATATAATCCAAGTGGTATACCATGCGAGGAGGTGCAAAAGCAAAAGCCTGGACTAGCGGAGATGCGCTGTAAGCTGGTTGATCAATAACACTTACGTTACTGTACAGTACCAGGCTTAGCTGAGCAAAGCAGTGGTCCAGTTCAGAGGTACATGTTTCTACGTGTAGCTTAGGATGACGATGTACTACCGAAGGTACGGCTCCAAACATGTTTGGTCTCCTCCTGATTTGGCTGCTAGTCGGGGTGCTAACTTTGCGGATCAAAACTTTTCATGAGAAACATCATATCCTCAAACACTTGCATATAAACTGCATCCCTGCAACCGTTTGGCGTCAAAAACCTTCCCCGCGATCATTGCGTCAGATAACGTCGACATACTACAACAGTTGAAAGCTAAAAGTAAGTCCAGTTAACAATTGCTCAAATGACCAGAAGTGAGCTCAAGAAAAAATAAAGCTTTTACCATCCATAATCTTTGGATAATATAGGACTTGAAGAATTGTGGACTGACTTTTCATAATTGAGGCATATATCCTTTCTTCAGAGCAGAGTAAAAGTCTTGCACTGCTACCTCGAATAGAATTGCAGGACGAGAAGTCCTCCCCACACCGGGCAAATGAAAAATTAAAACCCTGTAAAATGTTTAACTCAGCACTCGATCTAGACAGATCGTGCTCTGGTAGACTAGTCGGACATCTTATACTGCACTTTATCTCCTAGATTGTGGCTGAAAAGGTAGAAATCAGATAGAAGCGAACAATCACAACTTGAACAATGTCACAACTAGATATGCCATGAGATTGAACAGAAATAAAGCTAGACGCGTACAGAAGGTACGTGTGAAACAAGCAACTCCATATGATTCTAAATTTGGATTCACATGTATTATCACAATTTCCTACATGTTCTAGCGAGGGAAAGGAATCGGGCCGTAAAGCTTAACTAGAGAAACGAGAAAAAACTAAAAATCCAGATTCCATTCTGCACATGCAGGAAGAAAATTCTCTTCTTTTCATGGTCCGATTGTGCTCCCTTCGAGCTGAATCAGCTACATAAACGAGATTGTACGAAATGCAGAAAAGTGGTCAAGATGATTGCACCAACTCAGATGTATTGCTTGTCTACTCATGCCGTTGACTGAGTATATGAGATAAGGACCACCAACAACCTCTTGAATGTGGCAGATGCTCATGTTCCAACACAAAGAGATGAGTCATCCTCATGCCAATTGAAATCTAAGACGTACAATATGATGGAACATGGTTGAGAATGAGAAATATGATTAATTCAACTTGGAACGATCCAGTGACCAACTCATACACAAAGACAACAAAGTCTCACAATGAATAACTGCATCTCCAAGTTTATATACTCTTCGTAAGTTTGTATATTGAGTCAAAATTTTGGATGATTTAATATCACCTTCTACCAGGCCATTGAGTATTGTATCTCAAGCTTACAAAAAGAGGGTGCAAACTAATAGCATCATTCTTCTGTACATGGGCACTGCATAAATTGTGGCCTCAGTCAAGTGAATAATGTCAACGAAAAGTCAATGTGGTCATCGATGATGCTCTAGAAAGAGGTTAGAAATCACTGCAAAATTACCTCGATCTCAGTGCTGCCACCAGACTTGGACCGATGCCGACTCTCAGTCAGTTTATTTCACGCAGACGGGACCTTCAACTACATCTTTACAAGGTTGTTCAGGTTTCTACAAAAGTCACTCCATGTGTATAACCTGGATCGTGTTTTCAATTTAACTTGCAGGCTTGCAACAGCTGGACAAGCCTACACTCAACTATCTCCAAAAAGCAAGCCGGGATATCTTGGCCGACAAAGAGTTAGAGAGGGTGGCAGGACTCCCATTTTCAGATAAGTCTTTCACATCCTCTCTCCAGAACTTTAAAACATGTAGGCTCTCTTCCTCGGTAGATCTCTGGATGACAATGCGTGAAGCAAACCCTTTCTTCTTCATTATCTGACATATTTCCCCGGGGTTGTTGGCCGTAAGAGTGAGAAGGTAAAATAAACCTTTACTGGACATGAGCAAATCAACGATGGCTAACATACGATCTATAACAGTACGCCCGCGATCTCCTCCAGCCCATGATGCAGTGATTCCTGCAGCGCCCACCTCGTCCTCAGGGGTTGGGACGTAAGGCGGGTTAAAGACAAGCACATCGACAGAACCCGCTAAACGCTTCTCCAACCCTGTAACCAAATTCGTAACTATAACATCGGCCTCGACACCATGGGAAGCTAAAGTATTGCAAGTGACCTGCGCTGCAGCGCTGCTAATGTCCGTTGCTATGTAGTGGGTACCGTGCCCTCCTCCCATGAGGAGTGCTAATGAAGTGATCACATATCCGCTTCCACACCCCACTTCCAAACACAGAGATGGCTGTCGTTCCAAGAGATTGACCTTGTCAGCTAAGAGAGCATCCACTAATGCAAATGAATCGTCGCAAGGTTCATAGACTTCGGGATGTCGAGCAACAAGACGTACGCTGGCAATTCTTCTACGCGGCGAATCCTGTGAACCCAAATTGAATTGAAATCAGGTCATCGAACGAGAGAGACAATCAAGGAATCAAACCAACACAAACTAGAACGCCCAGCGAGGAAGTACAATCAAAGAGGAAAGTAGAACGATGATGAAACATTTGAAACGAACAACTAAAACAACAAATAAAAGTGGAAACCAGACGGTTAGAAAGAAGGCAGAGTACGATAAGATCTTCAATAGAGATTAGGCTACTGTGCACTGAAGAATACGTACGTCCTGGTTGGAAATCCGGAGAAAAAACTCACTTTCAAACATACCATGTGACGGACAAACCCTGTCAATTGGCACTAATTTACAGATCATTCATCCTACATTAAGATCAAAGCAATGCTCAACATGGAACTCTGATAGAGCTGAGACAGTAAGCTTCGCACAGCAGCCGTGCGTATTGGAAGAGAATGATCAATTCAAAGTCTGTTTTATTCAGGACAACCAACACCTCGTGTTTTCCTCTACAGCGGCACGCTCAATTTTTCAATGAGAATCAATCCTTCTACTGCATGTTGACTGAAGTCAAAGCTCATGTCTTCCATATTATTCTTCTCTGATTGTGTCACTGATTGTATCCAGGCTCTACAAGCAACTCTAATTCAGCCGATCTTGTCATGGAGACACCAGAACTTAACAGTCAATTGTACTAGAATCGTCGCTTTCACTAAGAATGGGATGAAAAAAACCACCACTTGCACCTGCACGTCACGTGGAGACCGGGAATGATGCAACATGGTCGAAACAAACTCGACAATTCAGGACTCGACTGATGAACGACAGATGGTACAGACAGAAAAACTAACCACGACAGCGTAGTGCCCCAATGAACCATCATCGTCATCCGTTTGCAGCTCACCATCTCCTTTGTTATCTACCTGCGCATGCCAAGCAGAAAAAACATTCCCCTTTTCTCCAGAACAAAGGGGAGGACTAGAAATCTGCCTCTGGAGAGACTTCCTATGAGGCATAGACGACAGAGTTCGCATCAAATCGGGTCTTCGGCAATCGGCCATTGATTGAAAGCCCCCCACCTCTAATTCAACTCCTCTCCTCGCAACTCCACACAATTACCAACGCATTGCCTTCCCCACCATCTCAATGTACTGGTGTATATCCATCACTCTCAGCTTGGCCAATTCACCTTCACCTGAAATTCCAAAGCCTCTCTACAACACCCTATGAAGAATCACAACCAGCATGTAAAGCTCCATCCTCTTCGTCCTCCATAGCTGAATTCCCAGAATGGCACCCCCTGCCTCAGGAAGCCAAAGATTCAGGGAGAGAACTGGAAGGAAGTTCAGGCTCCGGAGGGAGCCAACGCCCTAAGTGCAAGCTCTTGCTCCTGCATTCCACACCTGGTCCGAGCCTCGACGGCAAGCATGCCACAAGCCTCCTCCGGAGCTAGAGCGCAGGTCAGCGAAGTTCGGTGGCCTCCCCCGAACCCAATTGCGCAACTACTATAGCAACAACCCTTCCATAGCAGGTCCGGTTGGCTGGTACTGAATTATAACCGGTTGAACGTGCAGAGGGGTACAGAATTTTTGAATCTCACTACAGGAGGAACCCAAGTCGTGATAAGACTTAGACTCATGCCCCATATCTTTGGACAATAAATTTAAAAAATTTCTTGAGATGCGAGCTACTGTTATAGGCCTACAAATAATTAAAGATCTGTTTTCTGGCCATCATGTTTTAGAAGGTAAACACTCGAAGAAAAACTATTCTCATATACCGAGTCTTCAAAAATTGTAGAGGTCACAAATAAAAAATACATGGTCTTAAGAGGTTCCAAGTCAGTAGGTCTAAACCGTATCTTTTCCATATATTTAGGTGTAGATTAATGACAAGAAAGATGTATATATAAAGTGCAGAAAAATGATGTCAAATCAAGATCTTGTGAGGTTACTATAAATAAAACGAGGCAGACTAATAAAAGGCATGTAATTTGGTATGTTAAAGAGTAAAGTTGTACTTAAAAAGAGGGATCCAAGTAATAAAACAAAAAGGATGAAAAGCCCATCATGTAAGTCATAGATGAAACCAAAACGGGGTACGATGGGCGATTCCTAAAATCTTAATGAAGCGGGGAGCCAAACAACTGTCGGGGTGTTCTCAAATTACAGATACGAAATTGGAAAGCCGAATCTTCCATACCGGATGTTCCCACACCACCTGCCTTGCGTCATCAGTCTCTTGACATCGAGGTTAGGTGAAATTATGGGAAGGTGGGACCCAGTTTCCATAGTTGTTTCTGTACTGCACAGTACTATAGGTTCTGTACCTATCAATTGACGACTGCCAGTCACCGATGATCGATCCACAGTCACAGTTTCTGACCGAACATTCGTTACTGGAAAGTAGATCATACATTGAGATATTAGCGGTGACCGCATATTTGGTAGATCCGGTCATTGTGCCCGCATGGAACTGTAATCAACTATCTAGTCCCTCGCTGGTAATTTCGTAAACTCGTGTCCGGAGGCTGCTGGGATGAATGCGGTGAAGCACTGATTCTACATTCGGTCTCAAAAAAGGTGCATCTGAAGATTGAAATTTTGCCTTCACCTTTAGATGTTGATGTGTCGAGGCGAAGTAGTGTTACAGTACAATCACTGTCGAAATTCGAAGACAGTACATGGTTAAGAAATAAACAGGGGTAACCAGTAGACAGAAGTCTGTGTTGTCTGGTTGGGTATACTCCAAGTATGTTGATGAGAATTATCGAATCTCATCATGTGGGCTCCATGGAATAAATGTACGGAGGCGGCGACGAAGAATTTGTTACTAAGCAGACAATGTGTCAGTACCGAAGAATTTGAAAACAAGGTCAAGTTCATTGCCTAGCCGACGAAGTTGAAGGAACAGAGTCCCTGTGTAGAAACTTGTTGAACTTGGAGCTCAGTATGCATCCCGAGGTGAGAGAAATGCAGTTTCTTTTTGTTATTTTCTGTACATTACAGATTCGAACCAGAGAGCTTACTGTGAATGAAAGAAGTTTTAAATTCAAGAATATTTACGAAAATATAGTGGATCTGCTACATGTTCAGAAACGGCCTAATTTTTTGTATCAATGTTTTTTCTTGGTGGTGCTTGACTCATGTAAGGACTACATTCTGCATTGAGTCAATAAAATACTCGTCCGTTGAGTATCTTTAATATTGAATTGCGCATATCAGATGATTTTTCTTAGGATTAGCATATTTACTATCTATCAACATATAGACAGAACTGATAAAGATGATCTGAACACATTATCGGATGCTGATCTTGCAGAAATTTATTCGACCACGAAGTATCGCTCTGATTATTGAAATTGATCTGGGCCACCTTATACGCATGGCACAGGCTGAGGCGTGAATAGCCAGTATGGCATTTACTACCTGCTTAGTAGCTCCGAGATCACTGCCTTGCAACCTGCAGAAAGAGTGCACACAAAGGTCGCTGTGGGGGTTCAACAGAAAATTCAGCTTGATCTCCACCAGGATTTATGCCCTTCGATCAGATTCCCGGAAGAAATCTACACTTCAATATACTCTGTCCTTTAGAGATTCAGTTGATTTACACAAGCAACATCGTATATTCCGTTCTGCATCTGCCGAGGTGCAATGCTCAGGAGATTCTGGATTTGAGCCTACTATTGACAGCAATAAAACAAGGACTGGATCATGTGAGTATGATGAGTTTCTCTTTGTCCTCATTTAAAGCATGAACACTGCATCTTTGATAGATAATATGTAAATACCAAGGGTTTGAGATTTGTCAAACTTGAAGGTTGATAGTTTGTAATCAAATCAAAACATATGAAACTTTGGATCGATCCCACATTCAGTATGTTTTCATTGTAGACTAACTAGAGCACTGGCAAATTGAATATATACTAGTGGTGACCCCTAAACTTCTGCAAAACATATCGTTTTTCCATCCAGCTTGTCCTTCTCTCTCTCTTGGCAAGAGAAGAAGTCGACTTACACAAATCATACAGGAGATGTGAAAGTATAATCTGCAATCTCCCACTTGAATGTGCAGGGGGCCTGTTACGAACTGGAGCTTTGATTGGATCAGCAACTGTTCTTAGCAAAATACTGGTTGGCTAAACGTTTCACTTTCTCCTACCTGTTCATCTCCTGCAAGATATTATACATTAATGAGCGATATAGAGATGAAAGCTAAGATGTTTTTCATGCATGGTGTATATTGTGATTGATTCATTATACAGCTAATAATTTGTTCACATGACTTCGCCTCAAATGCATTGGTGATAGGGTATTACAGTCAATTTATCAGTATACAACGTACATACCCATCACACAATCTACTGTGTTTTTGCACACTTAATGGATTAGGGCCTTGCACGGGAGACAGTTCTAGCTGCAATTTATGGAGTTGGCCCAGTAATGAATGCGTACAGGTAATTACAAACTCCTTTGCTTATATCTCTTCTCAAATGTAGTAAGATTTGTTTCCGGTCATTGCTTTCGCAAGAGTACGTTGATGTAATTCTCAATGTTCATTGTATGCAGCTATGCATCTGTTGTTCCTGGATTCTTCCTCGCCCTTCTTGGAGGTAAGTTACGAAGTTTACTTCTACTGTCGAAAAGTTTTCATGGTTCTAAATATGCATTTGGGTTGGTCAAATCGAAGATTAATTTATTTCTGCAAGCACTATTCTTCGATTCTATTGTAATTTTAATACATATGCAGGTATAAATGGTCCTTTTCACTCTGCTGTTGCTGCTTCTCTGAGGTAAGAGGTTCTATAAACAGATGTCACTCTAAGCTTGCTTTTAGAATGTCAATTTTTGGTGTGAAAAATCGCTTCAGAAAAGGTAGATGAATCTCACGAACTGATTTCTTTCGCCTGCAGCAAAAGATCCAGGGAAGAAGGGAGAGATCTTATCCAAGGGGTGACTGCAGTCACTTTTGTGGTACTTCATCTTTCAAAACCTTCTTCCATGTCTTCAAACCGTGAATCTATTTCCAACACAAAGAAACGTTCATCTGATTTGCGGATGCTTTAAAATCCTGATCACCATTTATTCTTCTTTGCCAGGTTGGTGTTGCGTTAAGCTTGGCTGTAGTATTTTGTGCAGCCCCACTATTGGATGTGTTAGCTCCAGGGTAACTTCAACTCTTATTGCACAACCTGAGCCTCTTTTTTTAATCAAGAACGAAAGAGATTATCTTGCTGGAATGCAGGTTTTTTCGTCTTTTATATCACATGAATGTTGTGAATGCAAATTCATTCGTCGTTTGTCTTAGACTGATAGCAATGTTGTGGATATGGACAGACTGGTTGTCTCGGGTTCTCCTGGAAATGTCACCAGGCATCTAGCAATTTTACAGGTTTGTATTTCTTCACAAAACTTTATTTTTTTTTCAACACTTGAGTTCTTGATAATCTTCGCTAAATTATCCCATATTTATTAGTTGGACACCCTGAAATTCTCTGGAATTCTCTGCAGCTTTGAAGTTTGTATTCACGAGAAAGATTTCTGGCTCCACCAGCTGAGCGATGTTTTGTTATATTGTTGCTGATGTACTTTGGCAAACGTAGTGCAGACAACAAAACTATCTTGCTCTTCTTGTAGTTGAGACGATGACCCTAGTCCAGAACTTGAATTCCAAGCGTGTATCTACGCAAGGAATCTTTGAAGATCTTGCGTTCAGTGTCTGGAACATAGCGTGGGGAGGGAGATATTAACGATGGAAACAGTAGTAGGGACTTTGATGATTTAAGTTAAACTTCTGGAGAGTAGTTAAATCTGGATATATGAGTGTGTGTACATTCTGGAGATGTTTATGACAACTCTGTGTGTAGTTAGAGTGGAATAACATTTTTACGAGTGTGTTTGTTTACCTTTTGAATGTAGTTAAAGATTATGGCTCCTTGCGCGGTATTGGCTGCACTGATTGGGATCGGATTTGGGAGTCTCAGGTAAGCAAGTTTCTTTTCTCCTGTATATAATTTTTTCTTCTGATTCTTCGAAGCTCGGAATGAGCAAGAACATAATAGCTTGTGTGAATGTGATTCTTTGAGTCAGATAGAACTCTTTGTCACTCATCATCAGGAGACAGATCCTTCTTTTCACAATTTTTTAAAATGTCCAGCCACCTGGATACACTTCAAAACCAAGCCCATGCATACTCTAATCAGACCTTTTTGTTTAAAGAGCTTACAATGTGCGGCTTGCTTCTTTACTCGCTGGTGAAGTAAAACTTTATAATTTTATCAAGGATTGTCGTGACATAGTACCGTTGGGGTGTATGGATTACCATCTTTGAGCCCAGCTTTATCCAGCATCAGCATTATGAGTGCGGTACGTGCATTCTCAAGTATACTACCTTGAGATTTTCTATCTTATTATCATTTCAACTTAAGATTGGTTATCCATCCAGATACATACAAGCTGAAGCTAATCGTGACCTGTCTGGGGTGGAGATACTAGTTTGTTGACATTTGTTTTGACATGGTTTGAGAATACCACCCCATGGAAATCAAATTTCTATCGTATTCATCTGTCATAGATTGATCGTCTTCCCCTGCTGCCTCATTCCTGCGACTTCTTATTTCTCAAAGCAACCCCATTCTAATTGGTTGATACGATTGCAGGTGGCTTTGAGCACCCTAATGTTAAAGCGAAGGAGTTCCATGTCGAATCTCTACTCTGGTAAATTAGTGAACTACATTTCGCTCTTGACAGCTCCAGTATATTTGGGACGTTTATCTAATGCAGAGCACCGTTTCTTAGCTACATTTGTTCTGTGATCTATGACTTGCACAATCAGGTTGAAGTTGGAATGAATCAGAGATGTAGAGTGCTACTGATCCTGCGTTTGGCGGGGATTTAGATAACAAACCTATACATAAAAAAATATCTTGAAGGTGTAAATAAGTACTTTCGCAGCTATGAGCAGTCCACTGACATAACCCACTGATTCTATATACAGTAAAGTTCTGACTACGAAGGTATGATGTTATGGATGAATCTCGATTATTTCATCCTTCCAAAATCCTCCTCATTCTTGTATACCACAAATTTACCGCTTAGGATCACCTCTCATGACGTCTTGACATTGTACGGATATGTCGTGGTTCTCAACGAGAGAAGTGAGTGTATTATCTCCTGCCGAGATATTTTGTTCACCAGACATGAGAGAATAGAATGCTTCATAATCCTTAGCAGCTATATCACACTCCACGAGGTCTTTGAACCGCTAAGATTTATGCCTCAGAGCGCTGCTAATTAGCAGCGCGTTGAGAAGGAAGCTTAGAAGCCATCTGACATGTGCTTCGTTTGTCTTCAGGCAGTGTAGCTCTAGCAGCTGGAACCACTTTCGGAGCTTTGGCTCAATGGGTCCTACAGGTGTTTATTCGCTGCCCAAGTCATTCTCATAAGAGTCTTGTGAAGCTTTCAAATAATGACGTATGTAGAGAAAGAATTTTTCTTAAACCAGAGAAATGAAATCTTCTGTATCATATCACCAACCGAGGGTAAGAGTAATACTTTTCATAATGCTGAAAGACCCCGATACGCCAGGTGGCTACTTCCGTCTGACCACACCGTGGACTGTCAGACAAACAAGGAAACAAACTGAAAAAAAAGGGGCCCGGCTTTCAGACCCAAACGGAAAGAAGTTGACAGCGGCGACTCGTAAGACTATTGGGAGAATCTGTATTTCATAAGTGGAAGATTCATATTATATTTCCAACATTAACTCCATCATTATTAACTGGAACTATTTTAGGTTAGTTTAGCTACAACTGATGTTGAATCTCCATCCCATGATTTTGTTCTTCATCCTCAGGCAGTTGCACTACGAAGGACAGGATATGGTCCAACTCAGGTTTTGGGAAGGCCAAAAGCCATATTTGAAGACAAAGGAGTTCGGGAGGTAATTGGGGATCATTTATCTGCATGCCATAATCTTTTCTGTCAATAAATTTTGTATCTCAATTACGACTAGAGATCTCCTGGATAAATTTTATCCAACAATACCACATGATGGTAGCTTCACTAAGATTCTTATCATGCTCTAGACAAGTAGATAGCAGCTCGCTCAAATGCCATTGTATGCTTCATAGTTTCTTTGCAGATACATTCTTGGAACCCGTAGCGTCGGTCCTGCCTACTCTAAACGTATTTCCGGACAACCAGAGCAGTATATAGACTGGTGTAGCTGACTGACATTGTTTTAGATGTCAGGGTCTTTCTTGTGGCTTTGCTCAGCTTACAAAATAACCCTTGGAAGAATATCTTATTACTTACTGTCTTGTGTCAGGTCTTCTCAGTTCTTCTCCCTGCTGCCGTTTCTTCTGGATTACTTCAAATTGCTACCTTCACCGACCTTTATTTTGCATCGTTTATTCCTGGTGCAGCTGCCGGGTTGAATTGTGAGTCAATCAAAAGACTTACCCCTCGACTTACAAGATTTTGTTGTTTAAACAGCTTATACCAGAGGTGCCACGTTTCGTTTGTTTTGAGTAATGCAGCAAATGCCACCGAAAGCTGTTTCGTGGATACATGAGAATCTCTATGGATAAAAGCTCCTGAACCTAATAATATAATTGTCCCATCCAGATGCCAACCTTCTCGTCCAGGCCCCGCTGGGAATTCTTTCAAGCGCTATACTGGTTCCCATGCTACCCATGTTTTCTCGCTTGTCAAAAGTAAGGGCCGAAATTTAGTTCATCTATATCCTCTTTGACCTCGTTTATACATAATGAAACTACGTAAAGCAGTCTTACTAGTTGATGTTTCTAATTTATTATTTATTATTATTAATTTAGGAGGATTTGTCTTTTGTTTATAGCTTTTAGACCTTGAAAACCCACTGGCTTACATATGTCTGTTGTAGCCTTCAGGAAAGCTTGAACTCCAAGAGCGCGTGAAACAAGGCCTTTTATTATCCATGGTAAATATTCAGTCATTTTTATCAAACTTGCATCACATGTATGCCTATCAACGTCGTTTTTTCGGATGGAGGATGTGATGTTAACTATATTTTGTGCCAGGTATTGACTTTTTTAATGACAGCAATGCTGGTTTCACTCGCTGAACCAGTAGTGCGCATTGTCTTCCAGCGCCGTGCCTTCGATGCTTCTGCGTCTAAACTGGTTTCTTCTCTTTTGATATGCTGTAAGTGTGTTGGTTCTCTTTGTGAATTGCTTGCTCCAGTTTCTTTTTAAAGTCAACGTTGCTATTTCGAGTATATTCATATCTACTAACCGTGATTATAAATCCAGATTCCCTAGGCTGTACATTTAGTCTGGCAAGAGACCTATTGGTTCGTGTATTTTACTCTCTGGGCGACAGTCGCATCCCATTTCAAATTAGTGCTGCTGCAATCTCCGCCAATGTTCTCCTCGATTGGATAGCAGTCCGACGACTTGGGCTTGGTGTTCAAGGATTGGTAATCTTCTACCTATTTTTACCATTGGCTTGAGCTGGGTACGGTCAACATGTTTGACAGAAAACTTTTGCGAAAAGCAGTTAGGCATCAAACCCATAAGTTATGTATTCATTGATTCCTGACAAAACAGATTTTTCGTGCAGGTCTTGGCCACATCATTCGTGAATGGTGCTTCAGCAGTGGCTTTGCTTCTTTTACTTTCCAGCAACTTGGACGGTAAAAACTTTCCTATATCGTGATACTAAAATCCAGTTCGTCAGCATGGGTTATAAAATTGGAATTGTTAACCCCTTTGCAACCACCGGAATGGTATACTTCTACTGATTGAAGCTAGAATCTAACTTATTGTAAAAAAACCTGGAGAACATGGATGTGTACACAAGCCCAGTAACCAACAGGATGTGTGAACTCAAAATCTTTCATGTAGAATCCTCGAGGTTGTAGAGCATTTTGGTTTCCACCTTGACACATACGTCTGATAGATTCTCTTGTTCGTGTGACACGCAATTTCCTTCACATATCCTGTGCATTGTTTTCCAAAGGCTAAATATCCTGAATAATTGGTTCAAATCAGCTATGGGCAGTTTATAGTATGCTCTCGTTTTCCTTGTGGAATAGCCGGTTTTCGTCTTAGCTAATGTTGTTATTCGATGTACATCTTTGAAACATTCAGGGTTGAAGCTGAGGCATTGGGTACAACCACTCTCCATACTTGGCTTCAGTGCCACGCTTGCTGGCATAGTTGCAAAAGTGTCGTATAATGAGTTGCTCGTTAAATTGGTTGCAAATTTACACGCTGCAAGTGAGAGGTAAGTCAGAACCAATTTTTTATCTGGAAAATTTGTTCACTTAGCATGCAGAAGCTAGGATTCGCTTATAGATTTATCAACTTTGTACTCAACATCTTCAACGACGTGTTACTTCGCCACTTTCGTTCCACTAATTAGTCACTTGAAAGTATTTGTTCTTATACCTTTTATTGTGACGTGAAAGTTCAGGTCACTATGGCTTGCGGATGTGATATCAGTGATTCTAGCGGGTGGCATTGGAGTGATTTCATACTTTCTGCCACTCATTATCTTTCGTATTCCTGAGATGGAAGATGTACTTAAACTTTTGAAGGCCAAATTATAATAATCGAGAAAACGGCAGGGACAGGAAAATTGTCATATATGCATATTATGTATCATTGCTTCCAAAGTTGTCACTATAAATGATGTAACTTCATCAGTCATCTGTCATGAATGACGAAAGCTTGTAGTGAAACACCGTCATGCTTCAAAGAAGTTCGCAACAACAACTCCACCGGAAAATTTAAATCAATGTCATTCCCCGCCAAGATTGTTCTAAGATCTGTCCCCGGGTTCAACGATAGGTTAAACTACTCGTGGATTTTCATTTTAGCACGTAGTCCTTCATTGTCGTGATATTGGTTGTATTTTTTCGGTTACCCAATCTATACAAATACTCAAACACCCACTTTTAAGTTTCACTAAGAATTAGTTCAAATTACTAAATGAGGATACATAATTATTGAATTTCGTAGACCAGCATATTCCAGCCATGAGTTTCTAGAATCTGAGCAAGAATCAACTCCCCTATACATAAAGGGGGCATTCTCTCCAACTTGTTTCTTACGTGTTCTAAGTGTAATGAGTGTCATTATTCTCCTTGTAACACTGACTAATACTATATACAGGATTTTGCAAAATACAGAATCACAGCAGACTAAACTCGAATGATGTACAATTTGTGATTCTATTGGGTTGGCTTTTATCATTTCAACGAAATATTATCAGCAGTTAAGCTTTTGGAACCTAATACATGTGATCCATTTAAAGTTGACTTTCACTTTGCTTTACAACCCCTTACCCCATACCTAGTTTAAAAGGCAACTGGGAATATGAGAACTTCTCGAGCATGACTTTTTCATGTTTGAAGTTTGGTGGAAGGATTGGAAAATAGTAAGTTATATGATCAAGCACACAAATATTAAATGATCACGAAAGTATATGTTCCACCCAAATCTGACTTAGAACTGCCATTTCCGGCATTCAAAGCAAGTCTCGTTGACAAGACACTCGTCTCATTTAGTCACGTGTAGAATTGTACAAAAGTAATCGCCTACTGACCAGAAACCAAAAGTTTCGGAGATAATACATGAGGAATTCCGGGTGCTTACTTGTGAACTTATGAAATTTTTTTGCCACCTCATTCAACGCAATCTGTACAATCTCCACTCAAAACAGGTTGGCTTGGTCTAGCATGCTAGCCTGGACAACTGCTGCAGTCCGAACAGGCTACTACTTTGCTGAAGGTTTTTAAGTTTTGTTCATTCAGTGAGAACTCATCAGAGGTGGTTCACTTCAGTTCTTCACTCCTCTGTACCCAGTTCCAGTCCCGACCTCTCATCATACAGTACACTCTCCTCGTATTCCTTTGCGCTTTCATCCAGAGGTTTTCTGAACGACTCAAAAGAATAAGCCTTACTGAAGAAACTTCCGGAATATCGGGAAGCGGGGATCAAATGCAGAGGAACTGGAATATCTGCTGCTCCTGGTTTACTATTCGCTTAGGGCACCTCGGCGACCGCCATAGTGATCAATGCCAGAAGTACACCCCACTTCTCCTATGCTTGCTTGGAGATGTGATTCCCTAATCGAACACCACGATTGGAGCTGAAGATGCTGCTCTTAAGAGAATCGGTGTCATGACGTGTCCGTATCTTTTATAGAGGAAAACTTGGACGGCCTCTTCAGTCTAATAAAATACATCACCTTCGCGCAGCATATGTCCAAAGGACACTATCTAGGAAAAGACAACACAAGCCTAAGTTTCCTACATTGACCATTATTTATCTTCCTCAGAAAACCTCAATTTGCCATGTACATGGCTTCATGACAAGGCTCATGGCAAAAGGCATCAGCATAATACACGCCCGCTAGGAATGATCCTTTCTGGACCACATTCGCGCTACACTCCGAGATGAGCAAAACGGGCTTCAATGAATGTTGTATCCCGCATTCATTGGTATCTAGAAACTCCAAAACTGGACATCACTTATCAACTGCACCACTAGGCCAGAATCTCAAAAACGTCGAGCGACTAGTGGCCAAGCGTAACAATAGATCGAAAATGCTCCTTTTAACGGTTGGACTATCTACATTGTTAACTTCGTAAACCCTCATGTCAGGAGAATCAGTCTCAGGATGCAATAGGCACAGCTTATAGCTCCTTCGTAGGATTATATCTGTTTGCAACAAAAAGACTCACATGAGAAACACGTTGCTCGGGCCGAGAAAGACTTGCCACCACCGATGTTTTGTTCACAAAATATGGCATCCTCTTATAAAAGTTAATTCAATTCAATGTAAAATTCAATCCATCACTAAATCGAATCTAAGCTACTAAGATCTGGATACTCACCTTTAGTCGCTTGTCACGTTTGAGGTTCAGGGCTGACTTGAAGAACCCATGGATGACAAGCTACTTCATCCAATGTAAGTCGTTTTGTTGGATCTAAAAGACGAGACAATGAAAAGCTCAAGATGCCTCCCAAAGTACAATGAAAGCTAATCATCTAAAGTCGCCCGCCAACATAAAAATTTAATGCGATTGTACAAAGATGTAAACATTCAGCAAGTATTTTGCAAGAAATTTGGATGCTGACCTTTGCAAAGAAGGCCACGTAGAAGACTAAGCAAGTCCGGATCCATATCTCCCGGGAACCAAAACTGATCATTTACAATCTGTGGTAAGACAGCTCTAATACATAAGTATTTTCCAAATCATTATTTATGAACTTTGAGATTGGAGAGGATCACAAAAAATCACAAGATTCCAAAAATAACAAACGAAATTATTCCAAAAATGTAAGGATTCTTATCCTGAGATTTCAGGATAAGAATGGCCGAAGTAATTGTATACTGGAGCAAATTGAAAATATGAAGAGACCAAAGAGAGTGACAACCTTGACGCTAGAAAAAAAAATATATACAACATAACACAAGACCAGCATGTTGCATTTGGAAGTTGTCAGACATACCCTTTCGTAGGTGCCTTGAAGCGTGTCTCCTACAAATGGATATCTACCTAAAACCATGCAATACAGGGTACAACCAAGAGCCCAAACATCTGCAGCTCTCCCCCTGTAGGTCACACCTGCAATCGCAAAGTGAACGCATGTTGAGAACTGCATTCCTATTCTCTAGATACATTGTCCCATAACCAATAGAAGTGAACTCCAACATATATAGGTAGTGAATGAGCTCTTTTCTGGGGTCCAAGAAATGGTTCAGCAGAGAGTAGAACCTGACTATAGTTTGACTTTCGTCTTTGACCTTTTTCTCATTATTCGACTCCTTAACACCTTGATTTGACTATAACATATTTGAGTGTCCCCCCTTTAACACCCACCCAAAATAATTTGACAACGAGAAGCCGTTATACCTAGACAACATTCAGGCGCAGTATATACAGGCGTCCCGGGTGATCTCCGTAGCTCATCATTTTCATCCTGAAACGCCAATTTTCAGCCGTCAAGACCCAAGCTTTTTGAACTGTGTGAGGTTCATACTCAAGAAACGACTTGCTATACACTGAATGTTGACTTCATTTCGCTGTAAATATATCTTAACTGTAAGGTCGTATACACGAACTTACCTCAAAGGTTCGGCTTACACCAAAATCACCAATTTTTATACGGCCTTCACTGCTAATCAGAAGATTCTCAGGTTTTATGTCCCCATGGACTATATGCTACAGCACCACATAGCGCATGTCAAAGTCCTATTCACATGCCTGGAGGAATTATCCTAATTCTATATTAGTAGAAGACAAGCAACACGTAGAATAAGGGAAATGGCAGCCACAAGCACACGAAATAGGAAGACTTACATACATTTTTATGAAGATACATCAATCCAGCCACAACATCTCGAAAATATTTACGAGCAGTTTCTGCTCCTATTCCTCCGGGTGGTCCTGATCCTTCAAATATCCATCTGCCTTCCACGTACTCTAAAACTGCACTAACGCGAGCATGATTTTATTCTCTTGCAAAGCCACATAAAATCCATGATCTATGCTTCGTGGAAATAATGAACAGCCTGATGCATCTTTGATTGCTCCCTGAAAAACGCAAAACATACCCATGTAAAAGTAATCACTTTCTGGATCGTCAATGACTTCCACCAGCTTCACTATATTTGGATGATCCAGTTTCTTCATGATGGATACCTGTTACATGGGGAGAAAACACCTCATATACGAAGTCTTCTAAGTTGCAAAAGGATTGAACCCCAACATCATGAACATAGCACGAAACTTCAGGAGTGGATAGAAGACTGACAACAAACGACCAATAGTACATAAAAATATCTCATCATTAGAGACGTTTGACACATTAGAGCAGAACCTCATTCGGTGCGCGGATAATTTCAAGCACTTACCTCTCGGAGGACATCCATCAGTGCGGTTTCTGCCGGGGCAACTCTCAACTTGCGCAGGCGAGATTTGTGGAATATCTAAAACCAGAAATATAAGAGCGACGGAAAGATTTTCTCAGTCATGGAGACTCGCGTATCTTACTGCAATCGATGTCCTTCGGGTTTCTTTCTCCTACTTTCTCGACGCCACCCCAACAAAGAAGGAACACACGACAAAAGGCCTTCGTGCCCGTGCTATTCTTGAAGGGATGGAAAATGATACTTCATTTCAATACTGGTAAGAAAGCACATCATTTGGGTCTCGTAAAAAAAGTATCTGTACTCACAACCTGGTGGAACACTCCAACATCTCAATACTTGGCCTCATGTTCGATATCAAAAGGTAAAGTACACAGACAAGCGATCACCACTAACAATCCAAGGAGACCGACCATACAAGCAGATAAAGACATTCTAACTTGCTCTAAAGGCACTATTGAAATTTGAACGGTTCGAAGTTTAGAAGAAAGAAAAAATAAAAGGGGGTAAGCAGTTTCAGACGATTTATATTTTAGAACTCAGAATGCAATATATCCATCAGTTTATGGAAAACAAAAATTGACAGTAAGACACGATGGACGGGTATTTCTTGCCAATGAAGAGTGAGTGGCTTACGACATGCAATAGGTACAAGCTTCTGGAGTAAATACCTTAATGGCATAAAGTTTATCGTCCTTTCTACTTCGATGAAGGACCTGAACATCGATACACAGCAAAGGAGTAACGTAAACAAAATCTGCACAGCACTCAGTCTTCAAAAATATACGTTTGCAAAACTGTCATCTCTGGATCCTAGGTTACAGAGGGAAAAACATCACAACCAAAACTGCTCGAGGCAACTATTACGAGTCCTTCCACTGCCTGAAACAGAACAATTGAATGACTTTTACTTACCACTTTTCCGTAGCTACCGGTCCCTATTTTACAGTCCCGCACGTACTCATTGATCATTTTGTTTCCTTCGGGATCCTATACACAACAACCGAACGCCACGAACGAAGCAGTCAGATGAAAGAAGATTGTACAAAATAACTGACTTCGCAAGATCGAGCCCCACTATCGATCAGGCGGAAGTCCGATAGCTTGCACCTTGCTCGTGGCTATTGAACCCCAATCTGTAGTGGCCAGAGGCCATTGCAACTCAGAAATGCCTCCTGTAACTCTGGCGTCAAGTTTACTTGACCAAGATACAAAGTACACTGGCAGGGAATTCAATACCGCGAAAACTCTGCAGATTGACTTACAGCCTTGACATCAGAATCCCACATCAAAGACAAAGATAAACAAAACGGAACCAAAAGACCTTGTAGGCAAAATGAAGTAAATGCGAACCTCGTAGCGGAGAGCGTGATGGGTCTCCTTCACTGGTTTCGAAGAATGAGTAGCTTCTTCCTGGGAATCAATTTGAGAAACTTTTGCTGATGCTTTGGAAAACTTATTGTGAACATTTTCGTGTGCTTTTCCGTTGGCGCTGCACCCGGTATCAAGCGGAAGAGGAGACTTAGAAGCTGGTCTTCCGCCCTTGCGACTGGCTTTCCTTGTCTCGTCTATGGTGGTTGTCCCTAGTAAATTCTCCTTGTGCGTACCACGGGTGGGAGCTTCAGATGCTAAGTCCTTGTTCATCGTCGACTTGCGACGCAGACCAAGACAATCACAACAAAAGCGTTCAAGGGATGCCATGTATTCGTCGAATGGTTGCGACAACAGAGGGCACATGTGATCCTTGTCCGCACAGGAAATATAGTCAATTCAGACCAGATAACATACGTGATGATCGAGCAAGAATAGCCAGACGTCAAACATATGTCTATAGAGTCTGTCTTTGGTGCTTCACGATCGACTCAATGAGATGTTTCTCAAGGCCCTCAGATTGAGCTGCAGATCTGTGTTGTGATTCATTGGTGATGCGTCTGCAGCATTGTAATTTCCACAGAGATCCTTCGACACTTTGAAGCAGTGCCAAAAAAAACGGCCCGCTACTCGCTCCTCGTGCCAGTATTTGGTGTCGAATGACGTGGCGGAGTAGAAGGAACGATTAGGTGACGGAGAGGAAAATGCACATCGCCTTCAAAACTTTTGGATGACTCCGAGAGGAATATAGGCCTTCGCCCTTACGCCAGAAAAAACGACAGCTTGGGAGCCATGTATAGCATATATTATCTCCGTGATTGCACCTCTGTGGAATGCCTGTAGTTTGTCTGTGAATTGGGGTCAACAAAGAGAATCCAATGATCTAATGCGCATCGCTTTCATATTCAACAGAACGTGAATATTTCTGTCAACAAAATACCTGCGGCAGAACCGTCGTACAAATGAGGTGTGTAAGACCACCAATAGTACAAACAGCATTTCAGATTGTCAACAACGGTGCAGTCCACCTTCCAGAAGGATTGTTGGATCTCTTGCGTGTAACCCGCGGCCCCTTCAGGGATCCTTCGGTCCAGATTTACATATAGATGTTGCGATCGTCCAGAAAGAAGCTGAAGGATTCCGACCCTCTATGAAAGAATCCGGAACAACTACGCAAGTTCGAAGGTACCTCTTTGTACCCACAAGCAAATCCAGGAGAATTGGATGACTCGAAAATTGTGGAGAAAGACAGAAATTACAGACCTCGAAAACGAGGAAAGTTCAATATACACCGAAGACGAAATTAAACAACAGCAAACCCTAATGACTAATGCTGCTGTTCCCCCGCACAGTATACACGCCCTGGAAGCTTCAAATTCAATCGCCAGAAGCACACGAGCTAGAGCAGATGATCACTGCAATTTTCGTATCGGCAACACCGAGCTCCACTCCTGGCCCTTATCATCGGCAGCACATTCCACTTTCCTTCCCAGTCTGACTCCCCTTTTCCTCCTCGAAAAGCGCAAGCAGTCCGTCGCTAGCTCTCTCCGACTCAATCCAGTCAATGTCAGCACGAGAGAGATACCCAAGCGATCCTGGCTCCAAGGCGCATATTCAGCACGCAACAGATCCTCGACCCAATCGCCTGCCAAATTCAAACCGGATTCGGCCTCATGAAATCGAGGCACAAGCCTCTGCAATATTCTGCTCAGATCTTCACTGTGCTGTCCGGCAGGCCAGTCCTCTTCCGCAGGCACGTCAGCGGCGTCCAGTCTTTCCTCATGTACGCACCGGCCAGTGGCACCCGACACTTCGACACTTACGGCCCCATAGCCCTGAACACCCTTCGGACTTCCTGAAGAGAAGAGCCTCTCCGACGACAGCCTGATGCCTAACCCATCATCCGGTCCCCTACTCGGGTTGACCCACATCTGTCAGTCACGCCTCAGACGACCCGAGTTCTGTTCCTCGGCAGTGTCATGCCTACAGTCCCAGTCCAACACACTCCCTTTCGCAGGCCGATTCCAGTGACACGTGGGTCCGCCGCAAAGCATGCCTCCCCGATCCTGCGTTTGTTGAAAGTTCCCGTCCGCGTTCGGTTTCCGGTCTATGTGATGCCGAGCTTCCAAAAAATACGAAGTTCCGGTATTTTGGCTACAGTCCTGGTCCAGAACATTCACTTTCGCAGGCCGCTTTCAGTGGCATGAGGGTTTCAGGGTTCGGTCCAACCGCAAAACACGACGGCTCCTTCGCTCTTTAGTGTTTCCGTTTGCGTTCTGGTTTGCGGCCCGAGTGTTTTCGAGCGTCCGAAATCGCCTTGTTCCTCGGCCTCGTTTGCTTCGCCATATCCCATTCATAGACCTCTTCCCTCGATTAGAGGCTGTGTCTTACATGCGGAAGGCGAATCATCACGCGCATTTGGACCAAATTTGACGTCAGCGTGGACTGATGGAGCCAATCAATGTTGTCACTTTGCTTCTCCAATTTCATAACTGATTCCATGTCACTCGGAACTCTTCGCCCTCGCTTTGCTCTTCCTTTTTGTCGGTTTCTGGCTTCCGAGCCTGTGCGCTGTATCGCGCTACGAGACATTCACACACACATGGAGCAACTCGGAACTCAAATATGGAGCAGATCCCTCATTCCACTGCTCACTCCGTAGTTAGTAATTCATGACTTTGCCGAACGCCGAAAACTTCTTCGAGTGTCTTTCTCCGTCCCGTCGAGAAGCAGAATCTGGAGGTGGGTTGTAGCGGGTCTCGTTGATGTTCTTAGAGCCTAGGTGTTTGAAAATTTCACGATGTTGTTGCACGGCGTCATTATGCTTTAGGGTTACCCAACGCATCGTCGCCAGTGGCTAGCTCGTGGAAGTTTTTGAAGTCGAATGAGAGGAAGGTTTTTACTCTATGAGAGGGACTCGCAGCTCTCTCCAAACCAAAGTCTACGGCTTTTTCGGCACTGGTAGATCCTGTGACAGTTACTGTGCTTTAAGAGTGCAAGATTACCATGGAAGGAAGTAGCGAGAGCATCTGCAAACGTTATCTTCTGAGTCAGAAGAAGTGCGAGCAGGAAGCAAGCCTGGGGTGACATGTGCTGCGCTTCTTGCATGACGCATATACATTGATGTGGATTATGTTTGTGCTGTCTAGTGGGCTAGATTTTGGTGTCGTCAACAGTCATCCCTCCAAATTCTTACGAAATGTGAGTAAGATGAAACTTTTGGATGCGGGGTAGGGTCATTCGACCTACTCCGATGGCTATCAATCTTCTTCCCATATCTTATTGAAGCAGAGGGCATCTAGTCAAAGTTCAACTGTTGAAGTCGAAAATGATTGCTTGCAAATGATAATTTACTGCTCCCATATGCACAAGTACAGGAGTGGTGGTGATGGCAGTAAGAAGCATGCGGTGGATTCTTTCTGGAAGTGTGATTTGGAAGTGCAACGACACCTTGACTTGCGGAGACTCTCATTGTTCATACGATACCTTCCTAAGCGAATGTTCCCATGTATTCAAGGAGGTCATCTTCGTACCCACGTGGAGTAAGGAAACGATCTCAAGTTTCTTCTTTCTTACTTCTGTAATTATAAGGTGCTCTCTACTATGTTTTAAAGAAGAAACCGGTTCTTTCCTTTCGTCTTTCCTTTCGAACGCCTTTACTTTACTCGATTCCATAGCAATCAAATTTCTTGCATTTGGCTTTGAGCAGCTCCAAGGAGTGGAACTGCTCACAAACTTTCAAGACCAAGTAGGTGGATTGTCAGTCGCTGACTCTGAGTGTTCATCCCGAAAATTATGACTACTTCGATCCGTCTTTCACCAAGAGCCAATGGAGTTTGTCAGACAACAGATCTCACATTCCTTCAAATAATTCTTGGCCTTCATTCTAAAGATTTCTGCAAGAGTCATTCAGTCCCATGAGATCATCCACTCCTATACGCGGATGAGCTTGACCTCGGTCTACACACTGCGGCCCTTCACTTCCATCCAACAATTCCATGAAGCAATAACGCGGTTAGCCCTACCGTGGAGAGAGAGACCCTATGGGACCCAATCCGTTCAAGGTCGTTATAAGTGTACTTTTGTGATAATAAGATAGACGTACAGATGTGTCTTAAACTTGTCGTTTTGGGTCCATGTAAGTAGAAGTGTGGTGATTACCATGACTCTGCATTTTTGTCCCACCTCATGCAATTTCCAATGATACACTTTCAATCATGTATTTCCTTAAGAATTTATGTCTTTATATGGTTTTTATGGTTTGTATGCGATCTATTACGTGCAAGTATATTTTTTTCAATGTAGCGACAATATAACTATGATGTAGCATCGTCATCTTTTGAGTATTATCTTCGGTAGTATAATTTACAACAGACTTCAATTGTGAGATGATAAGTATTAAGAGACATTTGACATGGGGATTGCACAATTGATCCAAGCTTGAATACAGAGGTGTGAGTAAGTGATTTTCTTGATTTTTAGTCGTCAATAGAATACATGAGATTACTCAATACCACGCAAAACTACTCTATGAACGCACAAACACATTACTAAACGCAATGATTTCAAAGATATGTGAACAAGGAATACACAATAATTGGAAAAAATCTATGTTGAAGTAAATAATTTGATTTATTTATGATAAGTAAATGATTCTTGTTATGAAAAAACTATTTACTTTTCATAATTAAAAATAAGGTTTCATGGCTCGACGTCATTTGATTTCATGATTAATCTCCTTATGATAAAAAAAGATTTAGTCCTCATGTGAGTTTTCAAATAATACTTTTGTGTACTATTATTTCCACAAAAAATTGGAAAAATCATGTCATCATATATAACCTGATATGTAAGTGACTTTTTTATTAAATATTTTTTTCTTTCCATGATCAATAAATTTGATCTCATGATTTGATGTTTTATGATTTAACATTGATATTGATTTTTTTTATTTATTATATCTTCAAGTGAATTTTTTTATTTACTTTTGTCTATATCGTGTTGATAATATGATAAATATTTAATTGAATAGAATAGTTAAAAAATATATTATTGAGTTGTATTGTAAGTTTATAATACAACTTTATGTGTATTCTTTTGAAAAAAGTACATTTTAACTTTACGAGCCCTTGTGTTGAAAACAAATAGTTTTTGAGCATCAATTTTATGAATAAATTGAAAACATACATACATTTTTTGTTTTTTTTCGTTTTTTCTTAATGATTGTACAATTCTATTTCTAAAACTACATTATGTAAATTGCAAAAAAAAATTATCACATACTTTTTATAATTATACATGAAAATATTAATAAAAAATTTACTTCAAAAGAACTATATATTTTTGAATTTTTTTCCAAAACATTCCCTACTTGATCCAAATTTTCATATTATAAGAAATTGTCATGTACACACGTGTTAGTTATATTTAGTGTCGTATTAGGGTTAGAACCTAGTGCCATGAGATTATATAGTTGCATGAACTTGAAGAACGTTCAATTCTTCAAACCTTACGCAAGAGGGTTAGCGTATAGTAGTTCAGTGTTTCATGAGCATCAACCCGTATCTTCCATGAAGTGCGTTTGGGTTGATTTAGTTCTGAATGTTCTTGGATGAAGATTAATGGGATCTTCTTGTGGTAATTCAATTGAAGAACTTGATATAGCTCAATACAATAATAGCTGTTGGGGGTTTTAGAAATGAGGATTTAAGACACCTTGTCTGTGATTTTCAGAATTGCAGATTTTGAATATCTCGTAAGGAGCATTGTCGGTTTTCTGATTTCGAATATTTCGTCAAGAGCACGAATGGTTTTCTAAATTCTGGTCAGTGGGACAATGTATTGGAGAAGAGCACTAGTCCAATCTGAATCGGGAGAAGTAGAAAAATTTGTTGTTGATGAATTGATGATTAATAGTCGTATGTGGACAACAAATTTGCAGACAACCCTTAAGATGCACAATCCATATGATTAAGCTCTTGTGCGGTAAAAATTTCTTTCAAGATCAAGGCAAAGAATCATTTTGTTTCCGACTTTTGAATGCACGGGAAATTTTGATATGATCTCTAAATTGAGATCTTAATTCCGACATCTATGCCCGGTTGTATAACTACAGCATGGAACCATGGATTTTGTAATGCAAATATGGAGTCTTGAAATTGTCCAAGAGTAATCGATGTGGCTAAGATTGTGAAACGAGAGTGTAGCTTAGAGATGACAGAAAATTTCAAAATAGATGTTTTTTATTTTCTATGGTGAGGATGAGCAATTAGAACATCTCGTTGAGGCAAAACGTCCATTGTTTCATATGCTTAGTTTGAAGTTTCGGCATTAGGATTACAAAAGTTGGTACTTTCAAGTTCATTCAATCTCATACATAATGGCCATAACAAGCTTTTAGAAATCGCATGCGATATGTGCGAACGGAGCAACTAGTGCTTTGAAATATTGGTAATCAACGTAGACAAGACAAGTACAAGTTCTAGGTTCTATCAAATAGCGTGTAAAACAGTTTTGAGACATAGGGAAGATCGATCGTGGTGGATCTCAAGATACACGGAATTCTTTTGGGACCTTGTTGATAGAGCTTTATTTTTCTTCTTTTGAGGCACATATGTCTATGATAATGGGAATCTCTTACCACTCTAAGGACAGTTGCATGTTAACTTCATCAATTAATGGCACTATACAAATTTGGAAGTCTTGAGATGAGTTATTCGAAGATTGGGTTGGTTGATTTTGCTGTCAAATGGGTTCTTTGCTAATTGTATATTGCTGTCATCCTCGATTTGAAAAGTAACAGAGTAAGCAGATTGTTCATAGTAAAACATTGCCTTTATTCATGAGAACTTTAGGGCAGTGTATTTTGATTACTGCGTGCAAGTTTGAACTTCAAACACACATGGTGGCAAATGATAGAAGACAAGAACGTTGGTTTTTTTCTAGCATGATAACACGAGAGTATACATTTTGAAAGTTAATGATAAATTATAAAGTCGATAAACACGTTCGATAAGGCAGAAATGGTGTCGATTACAGATCAGCACAAGGAGTTGACGACATCGATAGCACGTGTACCCCAACTTTAGACAACATTGGAGAAAGTCGCAAAGAAAGCCTTCAATCAAGCTTGGGATCCTATTGGCCATCGCTTTGAATCTCTACATCAATTTGCTGCAGGTCTCGCCTCTGTTATGCCAACAACGAGCCGCGTTGAAGCCGACTTCTCCTTCATGAACTATCGCAAAGATGAGTACAATTCAAACTCATCACATTATTTTCTTGAAAGAGTCATGTTTGCACGTCAGCTCAAGCAGCTCGATTCACGGATAAGCTACATCTCAAAAAATGGAACATTTTTTGACTAGTTGTAATGATTTTATGACTTGCTATATAATAAATATATTAAAAGTTCTTTTTTGCAATATATTAGTTAATATATCACAGTATTGCAAAGAGAGACATTAAATCGCCGTGGCTATGGGGACTGACGCATGGAGACGTCATTGAATTCCAAATTACTTCTCTATTATCCAAGGTGGTGTTGATACAAGTGAAATTTCTCGTGGTGTTGTTACTAGTGGAGGTGCAAGTAGGAGCACTAGTGAAGGTACTAGAAGCGGTACTAGTGGAAGTACTTGTAGAGTTGTTAGTGCAGATATAAGAGATGATACTAGTGGCGGTAGTAGTAAAGCAGCTAGTGATGATTCCAGGAGCGGTACTAGTGGATGTATCGATAATGCAGCTAGTGGAAACACTAGCAATGATACTAATAGCATAGTTGTTGGCAGCTTGGATGGAGTTGCTAGTGGTGTGACTTCATTTAGTTTGATTTTAAAGTTCTTCAAAAGGTTGAGGAAGAACTACCAAGAGGTGAAGATTGAGAAGTTGATGAATCTTCAGGAGTTTGAACGGAAGATTGATGAGAATCTTTGAGAAACATACACTCGTATGCGACACTTGATCGTCTTTATTCATGGTATGATTGAAGCACATGTTGTTAAGTAATGATAGTAGATTTTGAACAGAGGTTTGCGGAGGAGTGTACGTGATGCTACTTTCATGAATGATACCACATTAGTCCATGTGTTTGCTCTCTCTAAGAATATTGAGCTTAACATAGTGAAGGAGAGAGTATAGACATCTTTGTTTGGTAAGTACACGACTACTACTTCTTGTGTCTGGCAAAGAAGAGCACATTCTTGTCACATTAGTGGTGGTACTAGTGGGAGTCATGGAGTTAAGACACAACATCAGTCATGTCATTCAAAGACAAGTGTGCGGACACCATTGCCTTCATTCTCTAGTCAACTGTACGAATAAACATGTTCAACAGAAGCCGCTATGGCTGCTCGAATTGAGCAATTGCAGCAAAGGCTTGCTGCTATGACTACTTATGGAGTGGGAGCTTCCTGTTATCATGAAGGAGAAAATTTCTTCAATTTGGCGAGCGCAGCTCATGTTCAGGCATCGGTTGCAATGACGATAGGTGTTGTTCGGGCTTCAAAGCTACACAGTGCAACTGTGAAGTTGGATCTTTTAGAGAGATGACTATGGAAGTCAAGCTAGACATACCCAATCATATTTATTGTCAGAGGCGGGCATGACTTCATCCATAATTCCTACATCACCATTTGTACCTATAGTGAGAACATCTACATCACATGTTGTGAATGCGGAGACATCATCTAATGTAGTGATGCTGATGGTTACTTTAATGATAAGATTTTCAATGATTTTAAGTTATTATACCTTTGTGTATGTGAACTCTCGTTTCTTATGTGTGTGTATATAGCATGTCAACGATGTAGATTGTATGGTAATATATATATTCGTACGAAAAAGTAAATTTCATTTCACTTTTTTAAATGCATAGATTAAATTTTTATTTTGTTTGATATTAAGTCAATATATGACTAAATAATAAGAAATATATTCATAACTTTTTTACGAATTTTTCTTTTGTTGCATAAGTTTTTAAAATTATGTGTTTTTTGAAATATACAACTTTATGTTTATATTATTAAGAACATTACTTGTTAAAAATTAAACATTACTTTTTGTTGCATATGGTTTGTGTGCTTTATGTTCATGAACATTAGAAATAAAAAATTGAAAACTAGTTTTTGTTGAATATATTTTGTGTAATATATATAAATGAATATTTGAATGGCGGCTACAAACAAAAAG